TTCATCGGTGGGTTCCCAGCTGTGTAGCCGTCACACGGCCGCACGACTGGACGGGGGCGGGCAGGTGCTCCGCATCACGGTCAATCCACACGCTCGCACACACGCGCGCATTTAAGTAAACACTGGGCAGCAGACAGCAAGGCTGCTGAGGTCTTGTGGTCTGCATGCACGTAGCGGGTGGACAGGATGCCCAAATATGAATAAACATGCTCATACTGGACTGGACATGTACTCTCTTGAAGTCAAATATCAAACCCCACCCGGAATAGTCTCTTTGTCGCCGGCGTCATTTTTGCCATTTTTTTTTTTTTTTTCCCCCGATGACAAAACTCGATAGCCGCCGTTGACCCAACCAACTGCGTGTAAGAATCGCAGTCGGTGACTTCAAATGAAAAGCCAATCAGGAACAAAGAATTGTGAAGGGCTTTGTTGGCTTTTATAGGTTACATCAAGTCATCAGGCCCACCGCAGCCACGGGGGCCCCCAGCTTGTGGTTCCTCCAGTGTACATTGGGCGCTCTCCAGTGTGTGTCACCACTGTCACTTTGATGAGTCTGCCGCCAATAATCTCCTTATGTTTGCCATAAAAATAACAAATCAAGTCGACATATAAATATAATAAAAGGGAGGCTTCCACACACACACACACACACACACACCCACACATTTTTTTTTTTTTTTTCATGTCGTATGCACATGTGTGATGTTTGTTTGTGATTTGACCACTTCCGGAATGCTTGCACTCTGTAGTTAAAAATAAAAGTCATTAATGTAAGCTCATCCCATCGCAGATCTATGAAAGGATTTGTCTTTGCGGAAGTAGTGAGAGCTTAGTGCGATAGTCCTCATCTTGTTTTGGTTTTTGTGAAAGCCCCCAAAAGTAGCTTCATCATTAACATGTGTCTGTGTTGTTTGTATTTTTTCTCAGGTGATTGAAATACTGACGAACCAATGTGTTAGGACCGCTCCTCACCAAGTGTACATAACCCATATTCATGCATGACATCATGGGAAGTTCCCCCGAGGTGCTCTCATGGACTTCCTGCCCCAGCATGCTGGTGGGCAAGCTGAAGGAGGAGCTCAAACTCAGTGTCGTCGGGGACTCCATGAAGAAATCAAATGCACCAAACTCTCAAACGCAGCCTCCTCCGGCTCATCCCTCGATATTACCCCCTCAGATAATCACGGACCTGGCCCCGCCCACGCACCTGCCCATGCCCCTGCAGCTTCTGCAACCGCCAAACCAGGACGAGGAGACGGTGCTTGGGGGTTTGAGTCCCCCAAACACGGCCTTGAGCATAGACTCCACGCGGAGCGAGGGCGGCCACTTTGACAACAGTGTCCTTCAACTGCAGGAGCACGACCACGAGGAACCAATCTCGCCAGCCTCCCGCGAGCACGGCGGCTGCGGGAGCGGAATGGAGGAGCAGATAGGAGATAAGGACTGTCATTTGGACCATAGCGAAGAGGACAGGCAAGGTCACCCGCAACACCCCGATGACATCAAGCTGCATTTCCACAGAACAGGGCCCGGGTCGGGTGGCTTTCTGGAGGGGCTTTTCGGCTGTCTCAGACCGGTCTGGAACATCATTGGAAAGACGTATTCCACAGAATACAAGCTACAACAACAAGGTGAGCGTATGGCTGCTCTGCATGAAGCTGAGCTGTTTGTCAGTTTGAATTGAGGTCAGGAAGAAGGTAGATTCACTACGCTGGAGGCTGCGGGGTGCGAGTGTGGTCAGACAGAATTGGGCTGAGTCTCCTGGTTGATGTTCCAAATGACCTCAGTGGTTTATCTCCACCCACAAACCATATTTCCTTAGATAGTGGCCAGGGGCAGTCTATGAGTGGTAGGGTTTTATTAGGGGGAGCTTAATTTGTATGAATGTATTTTGACCTGTTATACATTATTGTAATGTAGATTAATTTTTAATTGTGTCATTATCAAAGTTATGTTTGGAAAGAAGTATTTTTAAAAAATATTCATGTTATTCTGTTTTGTATAGGCTAAATGTTATTTCGCCACCACTCACTGAGGTGTGTGCTTTATTTAATATTTATTTTTTTTTGCGGGCACTACTTCATTGTCATACTTTATTTGTCCTGCATGGAACTATTGTAATGCCCTGTGATTGGCTGGCAACCAGTCCAGGGTGTAGTCGGTCTTTTGCTGGAATTCACCCATGACTGTAATTAGGGCAAAAGTACAATAGAAAGTAAATGGGATGAAATTACTTTGAAACACATTGTAAATGACAGTGTAAAATCCACTGTCCAGCTCCTCATTAATTTTCTTTCACTTCCTCTGAAGCCCACCGTAAACATCAATTGTACAGCTACCATGTCTGCCCATAGAGAGACACCACCTGTTTTTTTGTTTTTTTTGTTTGTTTGCAGGAAGGGAACAAATGAAGCAATAATTAAGGATGACGTTTCTTTATTAAGTTGTCGTGGCAGTTAATTACTGCCATTACAGTCACAAGACAGAGCAATTAGTGAATTGTGACACCTATTATGTTTGCTTTCAACTTTTATTTTCTCAGTGGAAAACACAACACTCGACTGCATCCAACTTTCCATTTCCCTGTTTCCAGACATGTGGGAGGTTCCGTTTGAGGAAATCTCAGAGTTGCAATGGCTGGGTAGCGGTGCTCAGGGAGCCGTCTTCCTGGGCAAATTCCGCTCTGAGGAGGTGGCCATCAAGAAGGTGCGCGAACAGAAGGAGACGGACATTAAGCACTTGCGGAAACTCAAACATCCTAACATCATCAGCTTCAAGTAGGTCTCTAATCATTTGGTTTGCACCATGTTGCCTGCGCTGCTGCACTGCTCACCCATTTGCCGTGTTCTACCAAGGGGGGTTTGCACTCAGGCGCCTTGTTACTGTATAATCATGGAGTACTGCGCTCAAGGCCAGCTCTACGAGGTGCTTAGGGCAGGGCGGAAAGTGACCCCCAGGCTTCTAGTGGACTGGGCCTCAGGCATCGCCAGCGGCATGAACTACCTGCACCTCCACAAGATCATCCACAGGGATCTCAAATCTCCCAAGTAAGTTTCATGCAGTGCGGAGGTGCTGGACTCTATCCTAGCTGTTTTCGGCGCGGTTAACCCTGATTTGGTTGCCAGCCAATCGCAGGGCACATAGAGACAAACAAACACTCGTGCTCACAATTACACCAAGGGGCAATTTAGAGTGTTCCATTGACCTGCCACGAATGTTTTTGGACTCCAAAAACATTGCGCGCAGTTGTTTCACTATGTTGTACAATGCCTTAAGCAGACAATTCAGCTTTTCATTTCTAAGTAGTGTGACATTAACCCTCAGGATGTTAATAATCAAGTGGCCTTTATGCGAGTGAAGTCGCTTGCCCTGAACATCCTGTGCACAGCATCCGCATCCCCCCATGTCTTTAATCAATATTGGCGTGCTGCAGTGCTGCCTACGCTGTATTAGTCAGCAGACCCATTTCAGGCTGAGTCTTCTGGAAAGGTCGTCCTCCTTTGATTAATTGGATGAATCACGCCCAGTAAGATTTTCAAAACGATGAGTTTTCGTCATGTTTTGATGCTTTTTATCACAAACTGCCTCCCTACCTTGTACTGTGTACATATATGTAAAAATATAGCATTACCGGTACTTTATTTCTTTTAAAGTAGGGCGCCTCTATTTTTGACAATCTCAATCTGACATTTCATGGTTTCAAATGGTGTAAAAACACAAGATCTCGCAGCACAAGAAGGCCTATCCAGTTAAGCCATACTTAAATTTTATTTGATTGTTTTACATTCATGGTCTATAATTACATTTATACAAATATTCACTGTAAATATTGCTTTGACCACAGCCTTTTCTGACATCTGCATTGTAGGACTGGGACTCTGGTAAACTGAAAAGCCCTGTTTTAAGAATTAATAAAAATTAAAAATCATAATTTGAAAGAGGCAAATGTGATTAACTATATGTCCTATGCAGATTAAATGACATGTAATTCTTGCCCAAAAGCAAAATATTCATTAAACATTCAGCAAATTCAAACATACAGATTTTATAACAGATTTCACAAAGCTTCACAAAGGTTCAATCTTTGCTTCAAAAATGCATTTCCATTGCACAATATATATATATATATATATATATATATATAAAATATATATGTGTATAATATATATGTGTATAATATATATGTGTGTGTGTGTGTGTACACACACACACACACACACACACACACACACACTGTATATGTACATTTAAATGTACAGTGTGTAGAAATTAGTGTCATCTAGTGGTGAACTAATAGAATGCAACAACCTAAGAAGCACGTGCATTATTGGAGCACACTACGTTAAGGCCACCAACAATTTCTTCAACAGAGGTGCAAGCAAAATGTCATTTCAAACGATTTCTAGTATTCCCCTCAAGTGACGGAGTAAATGCATGGCAGTTGTTGCATATGCTGTTGACATTATGTTGAGGAACTACATTCGCAAAGTTTGTCTCCTTAGAATATTTGCAGCAGAAGATTAGCGATTACTTCACCTACAATAACATAAAAAAATATGTTAATGTGATTGAACGTATGTTTTTACATATTATTTAAATGAATAGAGGGTCTTTGAAATAATGAACAATGAAAAAAAAACATTTTTTACACACCGTATCTTTAAGTTTGAGATTAAACTTTTTTGCACAACTTTGGACAAGAACTGCCTATATTGTTAAACTACGATATGATGTCAGTTTTTTTGGGGGGGGAACACCCTGCCTGCATATTAAACCTTCCCTTGTCTATGTATTTTTTTAAATAGTGTTTTGGTCACCCACAACGACTCTGTGAAGATCTCTGACTTTGGAACATCGAAAGAACTAAGTGACAAAAGTACAAAGATGTCATTTGCTGGTACGGTGGCCTGGATGGCTCCAGAAGTGATACGAAATGAGCCGGTGTCAGAAAAAGTGGACATCTGGTGAGTTGGGTTTCACTCAAGAGTGTATCGTTTTGAATTTCTTGAATGGTCCTGGTTGTGAGGACCCCACTGTGTCTTGTAGGTCGTTTGGAGTTGTCTTATGGGAGTTGCTGACTGGAGAGATCCCCTACAAAGATGTAGACTCTTCTGCTATCATCTGGGGCGTTGGCAGTAACAGTCTTCACCTCCCCGTGCCCTCCACATGCCCGGATGGCTTCAAAATCCTCATGAAACAAACATGGTGTGTGGGCGCTTGTTTATTAAATGGAAAAACCTATGAGTATAGGGTATCTGTTTCATGCAAAAGCTCACATAATCTCTCATTTACTCATTCATTCCAAGGCAAGGCAAGCCCAGAAACAGGCCTTCGTTCCGTCAGATCCTCCTACACCTCGACATTGCCTCGGCTGATGTTCTGGGAGCTCCTCAGGAGACCTACTTCAAGTCTCAGGTCTGCACTACATGTGGAGACTTTAAGCTTTAAAGAAGTACATTATACACATGCCTCACGGTTGTGACATTCATTCATGTTCCAGGCTGAATGGCGAGAGGAAGTAAAGAAACATTTCGAGAAAATCAAAAGTGAAGGCACGTGCATTCACAGACTGGATGAAGAGCTGATCAGACGCAGGCGGGATGAACTCAGGTGCGGCCATGTTCCAGAAAAGACCCTGTGGTGGTCAAAAAGCTCCTTGGTGGATTATTGTTTGCTAATCACCAACACTTGAATACAATACATGGGCATGGACAATATGTGCAAAATAAGGGGAGTCGTTTCAGTCAAAATGCCAAATACGGAAAAACTGATCATTGTAGCAGAAGAAATAATTACATAATTTGTTTTGACATGCATGTTATCATGCAGATCGGGGATTTATTTGAGCCGTTTTAGCTAATGTTTTCCACCCTTTTCAGGCATGCTCTGGACATCCGGGAACACTACGAGAGGAAGCTGGAGAGAGCCAACAACCTCTACATGGAGCTCAGTGCCATTATGCTACAGCTGGAGGTCCGAGAGAAAGACCTTATGAAGTAAGTGAATGAGCTCCTTCTCACAGTAGGGGGGCATCCTGCTTTACTTCTGTCATTCTTCTACAGTGTTTACCTTCTTTAGGTTTGTAGCCATTTTTTTTAGTTTTTTTTTTTCTTTCTTTAGCCAAGCATGAGGTGGTGTATAGATTTTGTTTATGTACAAAGTAATATAATCCTGACAGGAGAGAGCAAGCTGTGGAGAAGAAGTACCCCGGGACCTACAAGCGACACTTGGTCAGACCCATCGTTCGATCCAATGCTGTAGAAAAGCTGATAAAGAAGAAAGGAAGTATTTCTCACAAACCTGGGATGTCCTCCGCCAAAAGGTTTGTCTCTTACCTTAATAAGAAAAAATAAAATAAAAACATATTATTATGTAAAAAAAAATAAAAAATACATTGTGAAATTTTAAAGATCATACACAATCTGTTCCAAGATGTTGTTCAACCTCCAATTGCTTCAGATTTTAAAATGATGAAAATGACAATGTAAATGTAACGATAGAGTTGTGAACATTTCCCTTAGAGCACTACTAACATTTTTGATGGTCTCCTTTATAGTTGAGAGTTTGTATCTCAGTGTACAAAAGCCACACAATGCAAGTAATCAAGTTCTTTATAAAAGTTTTTTTTTTTTTTTTTTCACTAAGCTTATGATAATATCAACAATAAATGATGGCCGATGACAAAGGGTCACTTATGTATAATGACCAGAATCTTAAGTATGAAATGTAGGAAAACAAAACATTTGGAGGTTGATATCAAGCAAGCAGATGTGATTGCAAAAGGTTAATTTTCACGCTTCTGTTAAATTTATCCGTCCCCAATTGCTAATGCATCCGACCATGTTCTTATAACGGCACGTGAACTCACTTGGGGTGGGCTGTCGTCACCGCAGGATACACTGCGGAAAAAGGAAAGCTTGCCAAAGACAATCAATAATATGCATAACCCGTTTTAAACAGTCTTAATTATCACACGCACATGTAAAAACAAACTGTAGAGTACAACTTGAATACTCACTCATGAGACATGACTAAGCAGATGGAGGACAGCTGTTTGCTTGGAAGGTGAGTGTGTTAACATTCACGCAAAACATAGTCGAGGTGTAAAGTATGCACGGTTGGTCTTGAGCTTATTTTATTGTCCTGAACAGCCAGGACAGAGATGACCTTTTATCACACTTTTCCCCTTTGCCACAACCTTTTTGAAAACATTTCTAAAAGGACACTGTTTCCGTGTGTGCCTCCTCCAGGCCAGACTTGCTCCGTTCTGACGGTATCTCCAGCGTTGACCCCCTGCCGTCCCCCTCACCACTGTCCGCTAGCCCAAAGGTGCCCACACCTCCTGGGAAAGCCCGCTACCGAAGCAAGCCCCGCCATCGCCGGGCCAACAGTAAAGGAAGCCATAACGAGTTCCTCGGGGTGTTGAAATCTACTACAGGAGTGCCCGACGACGTCCAGTCACTACAGGAGCCACATCAGCACCATCATCACCACCTCCCACTGCCTACCTCAGGATCGCCACTTCTGTTGAAGGGCCGCGAAGAGGCCGTTGTAAACTGTGCCAATAACCTGCGTTATTTTGGCCCCGCCGCTGCCTTGCGTAGCCCTCAGACTGATCACCTACAGCGGCGTGTTTCCGGATCCAGCCCTGACCTCATCTCCACAGCGATGGATGCAGACACCCGTCAGCGGACCTCATCCACCAGCTCCAATCCCCTCCCAGGTGCCGGTTCTGGCTGTCCCTGCTGCCAGGCTCACCCGTTCCCTGGATGCCTTCACTGTCAGGAGACCACTCCTGCATCCAGCCAGCCAGACTTGCCCAACTTTTCATTGCCCAGTACTCAAGAGGGCAGCCAGTCCTCTTTGAGAGCTCCCATCAAAGATCCCAGTTCTAATGGGGAGGTCTTGAAGAAGCCAGAGCCTCAGGAACAGGAGTCCTTCCAGAACAAACACACCCTTCCAAATGCACTTCCCCGTACACTCAGACCGCTGAGGAAGGTAAGCAGCCATTGGTCTAATAATGATGTGTGTCTGTGTGACCTAATCACACATGGAAGATGACTCTGCGATTGCTTACTGCCAGGGTGGAGATGAGTCATCTGAAGAGGAGGAAGGAGAGGTGGATAGTGAAGTGGAGTTTCCAAGGAGACAGAGGTACTGTGCCATTGCGCAATTCGGTGAATGATGACAGGTATTGTTTCGAGTGTTCTCTTTTCATAACAGAGTTCTGTTCCTACAGTGCCAAAGTAACACCAATTTCTGTTGGTTGGAACACACGGTAGTCACTAAAGCAGTAGTTCAGTCACGGGTACAGTAAATATTTGGATGAGAAACACCTCGGGGCCAAATATAAAACAATAAATGGGAATTACATTGGTAACTGAGCATACCTTCTTGTGAAACGTCTGTTGGGACAATCATAAACCAAGGACCCTTGCATTTTGTAACAACCTTCGCTTAACATACTGGTGTCAAACTCCAGTCCTCAATAGCCGTTAGACTGCATGTTTTCCATCTCTCCCTGCTGCAACACACCTGATTGAAGTGATCAGGATCTTTATTAGGCTCCTGCAGAGCTTGCTAATGAGCTGATCGCATGAATCAGGTGTGTTATGGCCTAACACATAGGTGTCAAACTCAGGTCCTGGAGGGCCGCTGTCCTGCATGTTTTCCAAGTTTCCCGGTTGCAACACACCTGATTCAAATTATCATATCATCAGCAAGCTCTGCGGAAGCCTGACATTGAACCTGTTCATTTGAATCAGGTGTGCTGCAACAGGGAGACTTGGAAAACATGCAGGACAGCGGCCCTCCAGGACCTGAGTTTGACACCTATGGCCTAACACATCCGAGTTTTGCGCTATTGTGGGAGTTTAAAAACAACAACTTTCATTTTATGTGAACACCTTTGGCTGGTCGGCATCATAGCTGAAAGCGCAAAGACAAACCCCATTCATATTGGCATTCACACGTGAGGACAATTCAAAGTCTTGTTCGCGGTGAGAGCGAGAAGCAGATGTATGCAAATAAAGGATAATAGTCACAGAATCTCCAAATCAAAGTTTTTGGATAGTCTTATCGTGCCAACCAAAAAAAAAAAAAAAACAGTAACAGTGCTAAATGTTTCCTAATAGAAAAAAAAAAAAACACAATTTCCTTTAAATGATGCATTTTTCTATATCGACTCTTTTTGCGCTCTCTCGCAGACCTCATCGCTGTATGAGCAGCTTCCAGTCGTACTCCACGTTCAGCTCGGAGAACCTGTCTGTGTCCGACGGAGAGGAGGGCAACACCAGTGATCACTCCCACAGTGGGCCCCTGGACAGGCTGAGTGCTAGCCAGGAGGAGCACCTGGACGAGCTGCTTTCGCACACGCCGGACATCCCCATCGACATCTCCACTCAATCGGACGGCTTGTCTGACAAGGAGTGCGCCGTCCGCAGGGTCAAGACACAGATCTCCTTGGGAAAACTGTGCTCGGATGAGCACAGCTACGAGGTTAGTGGTTTTAAATCAAATGGATCCGATGACAGAGATGGCCACATCCTCTGAGGGCCGTACCAAATTCATTCGTCCATTTTCGATTAACACTTGTACTCATTAGTTGAGCGGGAGCCTCGCCCAGCTGACTTTTGGGTGTTCGGGTATTGGACATTCAAAACTCTGTGACCTTGACCTACCTGCTCTCTCTCCCTTCTCATATAGTGAAATTAAGCAAATACTAAATCATGTAGTTCATTAATAATAACGTCCTATCTAGAGTGATGTCCACTGATGCATTAGTTCAGTGTCTGTGGGGAAAAGCATTTAATGTGAGGATAGAGGGTAAAAATGTAAAAACACAGACATAAAAATAGTAAAATAATTGAATACTAATCCAAAATCCTCGCCTTGTTCTCTTTGTCCCTCTCTCTCTGTACCGTCAACCAAAAAGCAGATAACCAAGCAATGCGTTTTCGATCTAAAACAATGCATAAACCGAGACATTTGAGAAAGATAGACCATTTGACAGTATCTAATATTGAATTTGATTGTGCAGGTGTAACTAATGTTGTGTCTGGTTAGAATACTCAATTTGCCTTTCATCATAATAATCTATGCTACCCCCCCCCCCCCTCCCCCCCCCCCCCCCCCCTCACCCAGAATCCTCTCCAGTATGGGGACTCAGACTGCGACTCATCCGAAGCAGAATGCTCAGATGCCACCATCCGGAACAACAAACCAGCCCCTTCCTCATGGTGAATGCATCATCGGGCACTTTTTTTTTTTTTTTTGCCTGGAACCAACAGTGTTCCACTGGGTCCTGCAGAGAATACAGCAATAAGAGGACAATGATGTCAAAAAAAACAACAACAAAAAAAAAAAAACAGCAATCTGTCCCAGATCCCTTCCTCCATTTACCAGGCCTCCATTCCCTCATGTTGAGCACAGCATCCAGGCAACCCATGGCAGGGATTCCCTTTTAGAATGAACATAACATGTACATGATATAGAATAACATTCATAATTTATTTTTGAATTCTGAAGGACTATTCAGGAAATCGGGGTGAAGAAAAAGACTCTTGAGACATATTTACCCACATGCCAACCAGTTGGCGGCGGTGAGAGCGATCGTGGGATTAAAACACGGGTGGTAAGAGTGAAGAGGGCGCATGGAAACCTGATTGGTTCTCATGCTGACAGCGAGCGATGGCGAGTTACATCATCGTTAATCTCTCAGGTGACCCAGATGTGGAGCTCCATGCCTTTATCTGGCTGCAGGCGCTGTCTTCATTTTGTTGAGTTACATGGCAAAATCCCCCAAATCAGCACGCACCATCCTGGAGTGCACCACTACACAAAAATGTCACGAAAATTATCTTTACTGAAATAATAATGACAAACAATTCTATGTACTCACTGTGAAATCGGGGCCTGTTTAGTTGAATACACAGCGATTATTCTGTTGTGTGAAAAAGCGACGTGTATACGCAGGTCACTTGTACCTTCTGTTATCTAGTGGGAGAGCATTTGAATTGTTTGGGCCAGAATTTCTCTTGATGACCATATTTGGACATGTAAGATTCCTTGCTCAACTAGCTTTACTATGAGTTTACAGAACCCTCGCGACCCACCGTCCTCGCCTCCAGAACTGGTGGCTCTCCCATTACAAAACTCGCATTGCAAACACCAGCATAACCACCGGACTCCATTCCTTCCGCTCATCACGCTGTGAGCGTGCCCAGCATGCATGTGACCGCATTAGGTGGACCGGTTGGAACACGGTGAGATGGAGCTGAGGAGAACAGCTGGAATGAACAAAACAAAAGACGATATCCAGCTTCTTCTCTCATCACGAATCAAATGACGCTCTCAGAGCGTGAGGACCCACAAAGTCCCCTTTAGACATTATGCTTTCAAGTCTCATCTCAGGACTGCTCGAGAAGGACCGGAACAAACTGGACTGGACCAATTACTGTATGTTCGAATGTTGTTTGGACAACTGTTTTTTTTTGCTCTTTGCAAATTTCCTCAAATGGTGGCCACTGCTCTAATAATGTCATGTATAATACCAAGTATATATACCAAGTAATAACTCTGAAACCTTAAACCTCACATTTGTGGTTTCTGCAAATTCGCCCATTTGCAAATTATCTATCAGCTGCAAAAAAATCCTTCTATGTTTTTGCACTGAGGCCAAAACAACAACGGTGGTACTTTAATGTCCTCTGGTGGTATCTTGGTGCTCAAGTGAGCTTCATTTAGACAAAAATAGTCTCATGACATCTATAGGCAAAACCATAAGGTTAACATGGTTCAAACTATAATCCCAAAACAGTTGTATTTTATTGTGGGGACAAAATGCACTTTAAATGCACGTACACACGTGAGGACAACTTTCTTTTACTTCTGCTAACAACCCAGGCTAACGTTCAGGACTTGACACTGATAACACTACCGCTTTCCTGTTTAGACAGGGCTTTGGCGCCATTTTGTGTCATATTCTCGTGTTTCAATTTGAGAGATTATTGAATGGAAATAATAAGACAGAGCGACTGCTCCTGAAGCAGTTGCACGTTATTCACCGTCAACCAACATCAGCATATCTCGCTCCACTTTGACAAAGAATTCCGTAAAATAGACGCCTCCTTCAAATAAATGTCGCGGCCACCATTTGAGGTAATAGTATTCAGGTGCAGAATCCCCCCCCAACATCATTTTCAAGTGCATCATCTCTCATATAACACTTTCCAGCAGGGTACTTCTTACTTATGTAATGCTAAATGTGTGTGTCATGGCACTTCTGTCAGTCCAAAAAGAGCAAACCATTCCCCCTGTGCTTGTGAACAAAACAAAAGCAATTAAGAGTGGAGGTTGCTTGCTTGGGATCGGGAGGGTCTAGCTGGCTAGACACAATGACTGGTGGCTAGTGAAGTTTTTATTTTGATTTTCTGGGGGGTTTTTTTCCCTTTGGTTTTGTTTTTTGTTGTTCTGGTTCGACGTTGCCAGCTGAGAACAGGAGCTAGGTGACGACAAATTCAATGATTTGTATTTGTGGCTCTGCTGCTTTTTTTTTTATTTTTCTGACCACAGATGCGCTCCAAAATTAACATTTTTTTTTGCTCTACTGTGTTTTTTTTTTTGAAGGTATGTTGCATCTGTTGGAGCTTAATTTGTTCCCCCTTCTTTTGAGTGTCTGCCTTTCCTTTGTACATAATTTGGGGAGAAGGCATAGTTGATTTTTGTTGTCAGCATAGTTGATTTTTGTTGTCAGCTTTTGTCTATGTAAGCAGGCTATAAGGAATACACAAGCCAGAGATCAATAAGGCCACGGGGTTGTTTTAATTTTCCTTCATTTCAGTGTTACTTTCCTATGTGTGTATAGAAACATCAGCAGATGTAACTTGACCTGTCATCGGTGCGCTGCTCAAACTGGCTGAAAAGAATGTTTGTGATGTGTTTGACATCAGCATTGAACTGGATGAACTGCATCGTTATCTGTGGAATTGAGCTTGAAAGCTTTTGCAAAAGCCGCACGAGCTCGAGCCTCCCCCGACCGTCTCCTTTGTGTTTACGTTGCTGTAAATGAATTAACCTCATGCAATGTCATGATCAAGCTGTGGGGAATGCCTGGCATACATCCTGTGAAGTATGATTGTGGTTCGTTTTCTTCGTAGCTGGCCTACAGGATTATTGAATTAATTTATTACGAATGGCAAGTGAGTGTTCTTTTTAATTTCAGGCAGCTTCAACAGGAGTATTATTTAAAGAAAGCACAATGAACAGGTAGGAGGACAGTATTAGTTTTATGTTCGGTGGATCAAATCATCATATCTTATCATCATCATTACAGATGAAGTATGGATCTGGTGGCACTTAATAACAACAAAAAATGGTTCCAAATGTTTACTCCAGTCAACATAAGAATCTCTTCTGTTTTCACCAAAAGCCAATCAGGCGGCAAAGAGACCACAGGTCTGAAAGCATCTGTGATGCAGACTTAATTTTTTTTTAACCCCGTCCTTTCTGTCATTTTCGCTCATATTTAATACCAGTTTGTGTCTGTGAGGTTGTTTCAAATTGTGACATCATCTCATGTACGCGTTACATTTTTTTTCCTTACTACGCTCATTTTCCAGCTCTTCCTTTCGAGTGACATTACGATCAAACCAATCCTGTCAGACTTCTGTATTTTCCAGAGTACAGTACGGTGGACATCTGGGGGAATATAATCCAAGCAAGCAACTGCATGGAATAAATGCTGATGTACTGTACCCAACATCTTGTGTCGCTGCTTTTATTATTAATTGCATCCATCTGTATCCTGTACGGGTGTCACGGTGGACAACTGGTTTACATGTCCGCCTCACAGTGCAGAGGTCCAGGGTTCAATTCCAGGCTCGGGCCTTCCTGTGTGGAATTTGGCTGTTCTACCCATGCCTGCGTGGGTTTTCTCCGGGTACTCCTGTTTCCTCGCGCATTACAAAAACATGCATAGTAGGTTAATTGATCACTCTCAATTGTTGGTAGGTGTGATTAACAGTGATTGGCTGGCAACCAGTTTTGGGGTACCACGCCTCCAGCCTGAAGTCAGCTGGGATAGGCCCCAGCATGCCCACGACCCTTGTGAGGATAAAGAGGTTCAGATAATGGATGGTTGTTTTGTGTACCGTCAGCCAATCGCAGCACACGTTTTGAGTTTTTTTAAGCCTCGTTTTATATACAGGTACAGTACTCAATTTTTTGGGGCACGGTTATTGGTAACAACACTCTTGCTGCGATGTGTCAAATTTATTAGACATTTTCACTGTACAATTGTCTTTGTGCATAATGGTCTAAATTGTGTAAGAACTTGTTAGTGTTAGTCACGACGTGGATACTTAATAAAGGGTAGCACATTTAGTGACTTTCCCTGGTTGAAGAGTTAAGAATCTCTCTCTCTCTCTCCTTCCTTCTGTAGCTACACAGTATATCTACTCGAATCTAAAAACATTTTCAAGTATTGCTGTAATGGTTTCGGAGTGGTTAGCAAAGTCACGCCTACTATCATGCGTCCGTGTTGTACGTGCTGAACGGAAGTAGCCGCTACTAGCCGAAATATGCGCACAATTTTCTCATGTTCTTCTATCGTCTTGAAATCAGGGCTTCGCGGGCGGGCGGTTCTTAGGTCCTTCGGTTCTAGCCCACTCCTATAAATGCGGAACGCGTATTTCCGGGCGGGGCGGGTAAACAAAACTACACTCACTTTTTAGACAGGCGGAGTATTGGAGAGACGTCGACCACTGGTTGAAATCAGGTGAAACGAACGGCTGCCACGCTCAAGGAAAACGAAGCCACTCTCGGACCACCTGGTGTTTGAAACGACCATCCTTTGGATGCATCACATTTTCACTGACTAGAAATAACAAACATGGCATCCATGGACCTGGAGAAGTTGAAGATGACGGGGGCCGGCCGGGCAATAGCGGTGCTCACTAGCGGTGGCGACGCACAAGGTGACTCTACACAAACACTTAAACTGTGTTTTAAAATTTCAATTGAAAATGGAACACGCTGCAGCTTTCGGGACAGTCGAATACTACTGTATGGCACGTCTCTTTTTGACACACTACTTGTACTACGTTGTCGCGCGCGGAATTAAACCAGAATACCATATTTACGTCGATATTACGAAATACTGTATACTTGTGGGGAACCTACTTATGGGGCGTTCAACGACCTTAGCAAAAATTGTAATTTTTGCCTTACACGGACTTTAAATAGATAATACCTAAAACGACCGCAGCCTCTTGACAAACCTCCATGTTCAATTATAACCTTTGACCAAGATAAAGTTACGAAGTCATAAATTCTCCACGAGGTCGATGAAGTAACACCCAGTGCTATTAACAAACACCTCTTCACTGGCCCACTTTGTACTATTTACTGCATTTGAAAAATGACCTTTTTAAATCATAAATTGGATATGACACCATCGCAGTGGGTTTCAAATAAAATAGTGATCTTTGCTTAATTCGTTCTGTGAGCATGCTCATACCTTAAAAGAACCTCTCAAATTATCTTTTCCAATTGAAATGAAGTGCCAAATGAAGAGTCTCAACTACTCTAAGTTTATAAACTGCAGTATTTTTGTCCTTTTTCTTTGTGGGGGATAAAGAACATATGCCCATGAGTATTGTTGTATTGTATTGCACCAATTGCATTAAATTCTGTTGCTTAAAGGATTATAACACTTAAACTATAGCTGTTATTCATTAACCCTTCTATGGTGTTTTGTATTATGTTACCATCTCTGTGCACTCACAAATTAAACGTGTGTGAAATCTGGTTCTGTTTAGTGAAGACAAGGCTATTTTTCTGTTGTATGAATAGCACACATGTTGATCATACCTTCTGCAATGTTCTGGAAGAGCATTTCATTGTTCTTACAGTCGATGTTAACATTAGCATCGATAGATTAACAAAAATACATGATATGGAGTCAATAAATGTTTACACCAGTGAGTGAAATTGGCTAATTTCCTGCAACATGATAATGTGTCACGAGAGACTGATTGGAAATTGCTGATGTAGGGGATTATTTTTGGAGCACACCTCAGAATTAATCTTTTTTTAACACTATGTGGGCCTATTGCATTAATGGCTCTATGTGCCCATGTTCGATACTTGATGTGGTATGCTTTGGATCACAAACTCTTCCCGGTCAAAATGAATGTACTGGTACCCTGTATTTAGAAAACCTATTCTGAAATTATTAATCCATATTTTGAAATGTTCGTGGCTCAGGGATGAATGCTGCTGTGCGAGCTGTGACCAGAATGGGCATCTATGTTGGTGCCAAGGTCTACTTGATATATGAGGTAAAAAAAAGTACTACAATAAAATCTGCATTACGTCAGTCTCTCCAGTTGTTTTAACATATACTGGTGTGGCTTTAATGCAGTTTGTTCTGATGTCATATCTCTTTTTGTTATCCTGTAGGGCTACCAGGGCCTTGTGGAAGGCGGGGATCACATCAAACTAGCACACTGGCAAAGCGTTACTAACATCATCCAGCTGGTAGGTTGAATGATGTGATCGGTAGCACCAGTCGCATGGTCCAAATTGGTGTTGAGGATTTCTAATCGTGAATATTGAATATTTACTTGCACAATTGTCAGCCCAACACGGACGTTTTATAAGGCAGATCAAGGAGGAAAAAATAATCACTTGTTCCACATCACACAATGATCGCTCACGATAATATTTCAGACACATACAGTAATCGGGCCTTTGCTGACTTTGATTGCAAGGGAGGGGAAAATGCTCAAATTTGCCACGATTATCGGTAAGTGTGTACTCCCCTTTCCAGTAGTGTTTATCTTTCAGTGCCAGGTTAACAGGAGAATTCTCTCCTCCCACCTGTAAAATGTCACGCTCACTGTGTTTTCAAGTTCTCTGTCTCTTTCTGTTTTAATGATAGGACTTTCATTATTTCATCAATCTTCCCTCCTCATACATCTTGTAATCTGGTAAGGGGCCTTGCTGCATGTTTGTTAGCTGTACTCAGGTAGCGTGTACTTGCTAAAAGCAAGCAGCAAGTTGCATTTGAGTGATACAAATGCTGGTGTCCATTTTGAGGAGCTTGTGTAGCACTTGAAAGGCATCTTTTGAAATTCTCCCCCACTCCGATTGATTATTATTTTTAGTCAGGGTACCAATGACATGTACAGTGTAGCCTCTAAGGTTGAACACAACAAGGTATGTTTGTTGACCACCCACAAGCATTGTTCGGGTTTAGACACACATTTTCTCCTAATAGAAATCCGCGTGAAACTGCCATCATCATAAACAGAGATATTTGTATGATAAACACTTTGAAGTTGTAAAAATAAAACAAGGAGGACCAAAGATCACCAGTATATGTCATGCTTAATGACAAATGTAACACATTTATGACTTGTCTTACAGTGCAAAAACAAGTTCATGTTAAAATATCTCCTCAACTTCGGTGTGACCGGCATAGTGAGAACTCACTTAGCTGAAGTCTCATCGGATAATTTTCCAATTTACAGCAATTCCAATGTAGAGGTTCCACTGTGCTGTAGTCCGGGGTGCTGTTTATTTAGCTGTGTCATCACGAACTGGTATGCGCGTGACTGCTGAGAGAGCATGCTGTTGTGTTTGGTTGAAAATGTTTTGTTCTTACGCTCGTCCTTATTGCACTTCGCCATCTCTAGCTGGATTAGAACTCACCTAGGATAAAAAAAAAAACCAAAACAATGCCACGGCATGGATGTCATGCATCACCACGAAGCACTGCACTCTGCATGATATCATGGGGTTGCTGTGATATTTTGTGAATGTAATCAACGTCGTCACCCTCGGTTCTTTTCATTAGAATTTTGGCTTGACAACGGCACCTCTCTTCATTCACATGCACTTTTCGTGGTCGTTTCTAGTTTTTGTGTACTGTTGACCTCTGTGATTGTGACAGTGATGGAAAATTTCCATCTCGGATAGTGCTGAATGATTTTATGTTCTTGATTCATTTGCCTGTATTGCTCAAGTTTACATATCTGTAAAGAAAGGGGTCAGCAAAACTTATTTTAAATGTCATTGTCATTGTTTTCTGGAAGGAAAGGACTGGCGAAATTCGATTTTTGTGAAACCGTTTTGAATAGCACTTTATTTTAAAGCTATTGTGCCGAGCCTTAATTTCATTTTTACTGTGCTCAAATGTTTTAAATAATCATTACACTGCTTCACGCTACTCCTGAATTCTGACATTATCCTGTGACCGGACCGGTATAGGGCGGAACTGTGATTGGCAGTGCGCGATGCAAAGTGTTCATGACCCGCCAAGGAAGGCTGGCGGCCGCCTTCAACTTAGTGAAACGGGGGATCACCAACCTGTGCGTGTGCGGCGGCGACGGCAGCCTCACCGGCGCCAACATTTTTCGAAGCGAGTGGAGCAGCCTGTTGGATGAGCTTGTCCAAAGTGGTGAGGCCAAAAGCCCGCCGTTTGACGCCTCCTTCGGGTTGAAAAAAACATGAGGGCTTTTTTTTGACCCGGTGCCTCTTTCAGGGGAAATCACGGAGGCGCTGGCGAAGCAGCACAGCCATCTCAACATTGTGGGTCTGGTGGGCTCCATAGATAACGACTTCTGTGGCACTGACATGACCATCGGAGCAGACTCTGCTCTGCACCGCATCATGGAAATCATTGATGCTATCATGACTACTGCACAAAGGTGAAATGAGCACTATATTTACTTGTACTATAATGGAGGAAAAAAAAAAAACGTAACTCTACCGATATGCTTTCAATGAACATTTTAACTTTCAGACAAGTGTAAAAATTAGTTCACATTCCGAACTTTGATAAGGAATGACAAAGGTGTTTCGTGACACTGATATGAAAAGAAGTTAACCACTGTAAAACGTGAGCACAAAACATTCTACTTTTCCTCTGATATGATGATGACAATTTTGAATGATTTAATTAGCTCACTTTTGATAATGGATGCCCTTCCTGATGCAAAGCATTTTTTTTAAAATTTATTTGAATTTTCTTTGTTGGAAACGCAGCGGAAACAAACAAAAAAAAAAGGGGGAAATGGGTAATCAGAGAGTGAGTAGAGTATTTTTTTTGGACACTCTATATTTTAAAAATCCTGTGTCCCGTAAAGGTTTCTGCATGTGTGATCCTGGAAATAGAAGGATTACAATGATATTTACAATAACAATGAAAAAAGAAAACACTACTATCCAAAGGAGCGTTTGTTTGAGCCTGCTGGTTCTTGCCCAGGCTTGACTTGAACTCTCTATGCATCTCTCAAATGTACAATCTCAATATTTGGAGTCAACATGCAGAACGTCCTTAAAAAAAAAAAAAAAAAAAAAAGGTTGACTTCCTTGTTGTTTTTCTCCCAACAGCCACCAACGCACGTTTGTCCTGGAGGTCATGGGCCGCCACTGCGGGTGAGCTTGAACTTACTCCTGTGCTTCTTTATTTATTTATTTATTTATTGCTCCTGGCCAAACGCTAACATCTGGGCTGGTTTTGTTTTTCTCCAGCTATCTAGCTCTCGTGTCTGCGTTAGCATCCGGCGCTGATTGGCTCTTCATCCCAGAGGCTCCTCCTAAGGATGACTGGGAGGATCGCATGTGTGACCGTCTCGAGGCGGTGAGAGGTCCAGACTATGTTCAGTGTAGGGATGGGCATAATAATAATAATACATGAATGTTTCATAAAGAATTATTTTGATTGTGTGGAATTGACAGTTGACAGTTGAGCAATCACATCTTGAAGCAAGACATTTTTTTCTTTTGGTTGCACCAAGCAAATGAAATCTCAATGACTGTCCTTTCTAAAGAAGCACGATGTGGTGTCAGCTTTTTCATATCCAAACATGTTTAAAAAGTTTTTAATCAATGTGTTTTAAGTGTGTGAGTGGTGTAAAACAATATTTTAACAAGTTTTTATATGGTCCCCTTACACTACAAATTTTCACCTATTGCGAGTGAGTCGGGAACATACCGTTTCCACCATGATAAGCCTCAATTCAATTTACTCCTGGGTAGTGTTATACTGTATACTAGGGGCGTCAAATTCATTTTTGTCGCGGACCACTTTGGAGTTACGTCTTCCTTCAGAGGGCCGACAATGAAAACACAAAAATGTTGTCATATCGCATTATTACTCGAACACACCAAATTTAATGTACAATTAGTTTTGAAATCAGTCAACTACAATAGTCAAGTATTGTTCAACTGAGTGTAAACAGGGCAACAAAATTATTGCAAAATCTCGTCATTTATTATACTTGACAATTTGACATTTTGGTACAGATTTTAGCAAGGATCATGCAAGTTGACACACATGATTTTCTTTCGGGGGGCCAAATGAAATGACGTGGCGGGCCGGATCTGGCTCCCGGGCCTTGACTTTGACACGCGCTGTATACTATACAGAAAATTCACTGAGAATATTCCATCCCTATTAAATGACAAATAAATATGTTTTCAGACTTAGCAGCTTTAATTAAAAGTCCATCCTTAGTTATTGTTCCAGTTCAAAGACATGTTAACAACTTATTGATATCATTGGTGTCTGTGCTTGCTTCCAGAGTCGTATCAAAGGGTCCAGACTCAACATTATTATTGTTGCAGAAGGTGCTATCGACATGCATGGCAAGCCCATCTCCTCCACTTATCTGCAAGATGTACGTTTGGTTGGGAAGATGATCTGACTATTAGGTACAATGTGTAATTCTCTCTTGGTATGTTTCTGAAGCTGGTAGTGAAGCGGTTGGGCTACGACACCAGAGTCACCGTACTCGGACATGTTCAGCGAGGAGGAACTCCTTCTGCGTTCGACAGGATACTGGTGAGTTGTGCGTTTTGAAAACAGAACACGCGGTAACTATGTAACAAATGTGTTGGGAAATCACTGCATGGGATGGGGCCAATGTATTACATGACACGTCTATGTTGCTTATTTTGAACTCTGCCTTCTTTTTTTGTACTTTAGAAGGGTGCACCAACACTTATTGGCATGGTGTGAGGTGATGTGTACGCATAGTCATTCACAATTTACAGTGGCACACTGTGTGGTGAGAGAATGCTACAGAATTTCTCGTAACATTTCTCTTTTTATGTAGTGCTGGTAGTTTGGGCTAATTTTGCGAAATTAATGTCATTTCGACATTTAAAAAATAAATAAATTGAGCTATAGCGGTATTTCTCAACTTAGGAACATAATGGGTTCAGAGAGGCCGTTTGTAACTCGAGACGCATCACGTTTTGTTTTAACATTCAATTTTATTGCATTTTAAAAAATATGAATTAAGTTATATGCCGTACAGTGTCTACAATCTATATTGTGTACACATATACTGTCTATAACTAAATTCCATTTAAAAACATACACTTTCATGACATTTTTCTCCAGTACAGTCTACGAAAATAAAAAAAAATAAGTTTACGTAGAGGAGGAAGAAGAGGTGGATGGAGGGGAGGTCAGGTGATGCTGATGAGATGGAAGGCATTGACCGCTGACCGATTCATACCACAGGGATGTGCAACATTAATCATGTCTCCCGCCAGGTCGTCATTGCGATTAAGGTTAAATTAAGAAATTCATGATAAAGAAATGAATGCATTTTGGTTGAATCGCTCATGCTATTCCATCTTCCCTCATTCAGTGTTCTGCAAAAATCGGGACAATCACTTAGAACGCAAAGGGATGACATGTATAATCAGATTGATGGTCCATACATAGACAGTAAAAGGTAATCAGGCTCTCTTGTCGCTGCCTTGTATGTCTTCAGAGCAGCAAGTTAGGTGTGGAGGCGGTCGTTGCCCTGATGGAGGCGTCTCCCGACACCCCGGCCTGCGTCATTGGCCTGTCTGGCAATCAGGCCGTCCGTCTGCCTCTCATGGAGTGCGTGGAGATGGTGAGGCTGTCTTCTGGCGTTGGTGTTTATACCCGCAAATCGGCGCCGCTCTGCTTTGCTTAACACGCCCTCTCTTTCAGACAAAGTTGGTGCAGACGGCCATGAATGAGAAGAGGTTTGACGAGGCTGTTAAACTGCGTGGCGGGTAAGCACTAAGATTTCTGCGCACATGATCCAACGTTTTTCAATGGTGTGTGTCCTCAGTTTGGTCAAGGGTAACTTCTCGAGTAAATTTCTTTCATAGGATTGCATTAAGAGTATGCAGGTGTACCACAGGTTATGGCCAGAGAAATAAAAAAAAAAATTAAAACTGAGCTAAAATGTCCTTGCAGGAGTTTTGAAAACAACTGGAACATCTATAAGCTTCTTGCCTTCCAGAAGCCTGCCCAGTCAAAGGTTAGTCACCAGTGGCACCCTAATTAATCCTTACTATGGAACACTTACTGGTGTTCACTGGATAAATAGAGGTAATTTTAACTTTGTAAAATGGGTTTATTGTGAAAAATGACTTGAATAGCTTTTCTACTTAGTTCGGTCTCCAGAGTTCCCGCTCACCCATCAAGTGTGAAATGAAACAACCAATTCAGTCCTTTGTTAGCTGCCTTTTCTCTTTCTTGTCTTTGAGTGACCATTTCTGCACTTAAAATTAATAGTGGGGCGAAAGTATGTGATAATTGCCCCCTGCAGTTTTTTTTTTTTTTTTTTTGACAGTGGTGGCTTATGCAATTTCATTTGCAGTCTGGATGTGGTGGGTTGAACGTCTCCTGCTCCAGAGTCTTTGAATCTCAAGTAGTCTCCAGCAGCACCACAAAAAGTTCCTAGATGTGGTCTTTATTTTTCTTTCTTTTTTTTTTTTTTTTCTTCAAATATGGCGTCTAGTCGCCGGAATGGTGAGAAAAGTCACCAAGTTGGACTTCGTTCTGCCACCAGTCGTCATAGCAACAAAAGCTGTCATTCAAGTGCAAAAATAATGTTTGCGTTTTAGAAGATAATCACTGCCCAAAAATATTCCACTTCAACTTTGATATTAAGTGTCCAAGTGCTTGGGTACAAGAAGACACAAACATAAGTCAAAGTATTGAGTCTGAATTCTCTTCCCTGTAGAGCAACTTCTCGCTCGCCATCCTGAATGTGGGCGCCCCGGCGGCGGGCATGAACGCGGCCGTGAGGTCGGCCGTGAGATTGGCCATCGCTCACGGGCACAAGGTCTACGCCGTGCACAACGGCTTCCAGGGCTTTGCCAATGGCGATGTGAGGCCCTCCACCTCAGTGTGCTTGACCACCATCCATTCATCTTGGTAACAAGGAGAATGTGACTTTCTGTGGCTCTGCAGGTGTTTGAGATGGAGTGGCACAATGTGGCGGGATGGACGGGCCAAGGAGGCTCGCTGTTGGGCACAAAACGGTGACGTCCAGATGACGAAGAGCAAATGCTCTGGTTTACTTCTCAATGACTATTAAATGACACACTGCCCTACCCTTGTGCAGAACACTTCCGAGCAAACACATGGAGAAGATTGTGGAGAACATCGACAAGTTCAATATCTCAGCTCTACTTGTCATCGGAGGGTTTGAGGTACAGTAAAACCCCCCTTTGATCTTGGGGAATACTTTTTAGACTCAAATGCAATCAAAGGCAGTTTCGGCATAGTTTTACCCATCCTACAAAACCTTTTGACAGCAAATTGTCAATGGAATTGATGATATTTACAAGCATAAGATATGCAGGACATACTGTACATGCTGTAGTGTATGTGTGAAGATACGTGCGTTAAGGGGTGGGCCCAGTGGGTGGCATGTGACACCGGTGTATCTGCTTGTGGTTGTCTTGGTGTGAGCTGTGGCTAACGCAGTTCTTACATGAGCACTTTCATTGTGCTTTAAAGGCCTAAAAAAAAAACATGTGGCGACTTTATCTTACCTTTGCCACACGCAAGGATATTACAGAAAGTGAGTATGCTGTAAAAACTCAATAAAAAAAACGATGGCTTTCAAGATCCATAAAGGGTCAGAATTTATGGTCTTTTCCAGCAGTCTTCACTGGTTGTCATTGCTGCTTTCGAAGGCCTACAGAGGCGTGCTGGAGCTCTTTGAGGCCCGAGCCCACTACGACGCGCTGTGTATTCCAATGTGTGTGATTCCCGCTACCATCAGCAACAACGTCCCCGGAACGGACTTCAGTCTGGGGGCCGACACTGCCGTTAACGCTGCAATGGAGGTAACGCTGAGGCACATATTGTAATACACATAAATACAGGATGAACCTTTTCACTACTTTTGTGGGGAAAATGTGGTTGTTATAATGACATTTACGTTATAAAGATTGTTCGTTGTAAGCGGAATCGGCAAATGGAAAATGAATTACTGTACGTGAAATTGGGACTTTGAAATGTGAATGTTATAGGGGTGAAAACATAAACAGGGTACGTTGAAAAGAGGTTCAACTATATTTTATATATTATTAGATATTAATAGTTTTTAAATTGAGTTATAATTTTTGGGGGGGACAAAATTAGTCTTTTGGACTTTTTAGGCTTACCATTTTTGTAACTGGTCAGCAGTCTTAAAACAGCTGTTCAAAAGTGCAACAAAACATGAAATAACATTGTTGTCTTTTCTATGCAAAGAATGTATTTTATATGCCGAGTCGTAATTAGTCTGCAAGCACTACACAAACGTTCAAATGTAATCTGCGAATCTTGAAATAATCGACTTAGTACCATATGCCAGTCCTCCTGCTGTGTGATCAAATTAGTTACAATTTTCAGATTCTTGCCGCACACACACACCCGGCCTTGAGTTATCTCCTCTTGACACCTCCTATTTATTAATCTCCCCCTCAGGGCTGTGACAAGATAAAGCAGTCTGCTACAGGGACAAAGAGACGCGTCTTTGTGGTGGAAACAATGGGGGGCTACTGCGGTTACCTAGCGACCAGCACCGGCATCGCTGTGGGCGCCGACGCGGCCTACATTTTCGAGGACCCCTTTAACATCCACGACCTGAAGGTAACAGCCGCCGATTCTCTTCACCATTTTTTTTTGTCTTAGACATTTACTTCCCTTTCACGTTACCTTTTCAAAGACCAATGTGGAGCATCTCACAGAGAAAATGAAGAAGGACATCCAGCGGGGGCTCGTACTGAGGTCAGACGCGTTCACCTGGATTCAATGGCGGCTGCTACAGTCAAAAGCCAGTCTGGGTGACTTTTTTTCATGCTATGCTACTTGATATACAATATATTGTGCGTTAGTCTACGGTGTTAATGAGAGTTTGGCAAAGATTTGGACTCGTTTCATGAGTCATTTTTAAAAATTGATTGGCCAGAGCATTTGTAGATGTGGGGAAAATTTGTTCCATAGAACTATGTAGATGTAACGGGAGGCGCTCCATTTAGACAGGCTATTGCATAATATTAAAGTAGAGCTGTGCCACTTATAAACTTTTTAGTGGGCAGCATCAATTATTTGCACACTTTCGCTATTGGTCATATCACTTGATCATACTTAACAGGAATGAAAAATGCCATGAGCACTACACTACGGATTTCCTCCACAAGTTGTATTCCGCCGAAGGGAAGGGCATTTTTGACTGTCGGGTCAACGTGTTGGGACATCTTCAACAGGTACGCCGTCACATTGTGGTCTTTATTCGCACGAAAAAAAGAAAACAAAAAGCGAGAAAATGTATGTCATTCACCAGGGAGGGGCGCCATCTCCCTTCGACCGAAATTATGGCACCAAGCTGGGAGTGAAAGCCATCCAGTGGATAAGTGAAAAGCTGATAGAAAACTTCCGGCAAGGTTGGTAACAAGAGTCTTGTGTTGAGTTGGGGCACAAAAAAAAAAAAAAAATAATAATAATAATAATGATGAGCACCTGATGGTGGCGGGCAACATCACAAAAAGCAGCAGTTTGGCAAATAGTCAACAAATCTTCAAAACCGAGGCCAATGTTTTGCTACAAGCTGTTGATTGCCACTCCCAGTTTGTCTTATTTTAAAAATAAACATAAAAAAAAAGACAATAGGGTATTTCAACAAAACACATAAATATATAGATATTCTTTACCCTTTGCAAAAAACAGTATTACTGCACCTTACTGAGAAGTTATAAATCTCTTCATTTTTACAATCATGAATAAATAACACCGCCCCTCAGCGGCCAAGGGATGCACAGAAAGAGCTCCAAAATGTATGCATGAATTATTGATCCACAAATTGTTCAATTCTTTCCTTTCTAAGTTATTGTTATTACTATGTTTTTTTTTCTCTACAGTTCAATACGGTGACGCTATTTTTCTTGATGGTGGAATGCATTAATGATATTTCCATTCTTTTCAGTTGGAAAATTTATTTTTAGACAGCGTTTTGAGTATGAGCACGGTTTAGAGGCGATAAACACCATGAACTGGTCACCAGGCAGTCACACGGCACATATACAGTCTATACAAAGTTTAAATGCAAAGCAACCAATGTCACTCACATTCCAGCCACGCGTAGCAATACACCACCAGTGCCTGATCAATTAGGTGAGCCTAATAATTGCAGCGTGTCTCATCCGCAGGTCGCGTGTTCTGCAACTCCACAGACACGGCGTGCGTGCTGGGCCTCCAGAGGAAGGTCGTCTCATTCAGCCCCCTCACTGAACTCAAGGACGTCACCGACTTTGAGTAAGTCCCCCTAAGTAGTTGAGACGCATCTCGCAGTGCATTCGGAAAGTGTTTGAAATGTTACTAAATAAATAGAAAATGGTTCACAGCCTTTGCCATAACACTCAAAAGTGAGCTCAGGTCAGGTGCTTCAGGATGCCTTTCAAGCGAAACTTTCACTTTGATGCTATTATTATTTTTTTTTTTTTTGCATTTGTGACACCTTAACTCAGCAATGCGCTCCTACTAAATAATATATATAACACAAAAAGGGCATTTTCATTGCAAAATAACAGTTCATTGCAAGAAAAACACTGTACTAATGCATGAACTGTGCATGAACTTTTCATGAACTTTGTGTCTGTGTGCGTATGCGTGTGTGTATGTACCTGCTTAATGGCGTGCATGTGCGCGCGTGTTCACATTGACCCTTCAAAAGTCCTTTTTGTGTGTTCAATGTGAAAGCGGTGTCCTTTGTGCAAGGGCACACAAGGATGATGAAGGGACTTTGTCATCTTTTTTTAAGTTGAAAAAGCTCTGTTGCGGAGTTAGCTGCCGGTATTTATCCATGTTCTCACCACCACACTGCTTTCGCACGCCACATAGGATCGCCATACTGTATAAACACCATGTGTGGACCTAGATCTGATCAAAGCCACTCCTGTCATCGAGTGGTGATTTATCATACTGAAATCATTACTAATAATTTACATTTTGGCATTAATTGATCAGGTTTTTGCAAATATATTTTTGACATTTTTGGCATTAAATGATTTAATTTGAAACTTCAAAATAAATGGATTGTCATTTTAGAATAAATGATTAAAAAAAAAAAAAAAAGTGAAAAGGGTCTCTTGAGGCACAGACACTCCCCATCCAACCTGATGAAGCTTTATAGGCAAAACTGCCCAAAGATTGAAACGCCAACCTTGTGACATCATCATAAAAAAAAGGCTATAATTGTTCCCCAAGGTTCATCAAGAAAGGATTATGTAAAAGCTGTGAATATTTGCACTAATCACAAAAGCTTCCACCATATAAAACACTTTTATATTGTTTTTTTTTCCCCAACCACACGCTTTAAACACGTACTTCTGAAAGGATATGAGACCCATATCCTTTTTGGTCTGTACTTCTTTTTACTTCACATGATGGCGTGTTTGTCTCTCAGGCACCGCATGCCCAAGGTACAATGGTGGTTCAACCTGCGGCCCATGCTGAAAATGTTGGCCAAGTACCAGACCAGCTTCTGCGAATACATCCCGGGAGAGATCGAACACGTGACCCGGCGCTCTCTCAGCATCGACTCGGGCTTCTAGGTTCTCCCCGACTGCACTCGGCACTTTTTTAAAGCAAGAGGGGAAAAAAAAAACCAAACCCAACCCCGCTCCTTCCGTGACATTTCCACATGCCTGCTTACGTACCGTACGTTTTTGAAGCTAAAGTGTTTTAGCAACTGTATTGAAAAGGGTTCATCAGGACATACTAACTGCTGTTCTTTTTTATGAGTGGGGCATTCAAAACAAATAAGGTTTTATTACAGTGGAACCACCAAGGTTGAACACTGTTCTTTCAGGGACATGTAGTAAAGGAATGGAAATAATCTGTTCCTGTCTCAAGCTGTCAATATTATAAACCGGATGTCCACAGATCCTCAAAAATACTGTAAAGGCATGGATCCAATGAACATAAAAACAAGGCCTTCATTGGCATTAAAATGTCCTAAATCAGTCTTTTCAAACTCGTACAAATTTTCAACACCTGATAAATAGGATTTTATGATTGTGAATAGTGTCAAAACTCCTGAAAAAATAATTTACCAAATGACTCTTGTGGGGGGAAAAAACGCTCATTTACGCCAGCGGAACTTAGAGTTTAAAAAAAAAAAAAAATCAAAACAGTTTGATAACTTTTATATTAGGTTATTGTTATTATTAAATTAAGTTTTGCTGTTGTAAAAACTGGCTTTCCTGCATTTTACAACAAAGAAATAACAGTTTATGGAGCTAATTGTCCTTTGTATTGCCCCCCCCCATCCCCCAACAAACAAACAAAACCTAAAGATAATTAAAAACAACTCCAAATTGTTTTGGAGCAAACAACTTGCTTGTTTTGTTGCACTAACATTGTTGCCATAAATGTCAAAAAATATATATTTTAAAGTTGTTCCAACTTAAATTACCAGGTTAGTCCCCAAAAAGCACAAGTTGTCATTGGTTTTTTTTTTTTTTTTTTTTTGAAAAATAATTATAAAACAGTGACGTGGTTTTAGTTGGGACTCTTAAAGAGCAGACGTCGTTTATGTACTCTAGCAATTTTGGACAACATGGGACATTAGGAAGTTGCTCTTAAATTTAATTTCAAATGGATTTAGAAAGTTTTAGCCTTAAATTGAACTTGCCTTAAGCTGTAGGAATGCTGATAAAGGTATTTATTATTACCTGCAATGTGGTGGCCTTTAAGATGATTCAGGTTTTTACATGATTTGTTTTTTTTTTCCCCCTGGTACAGCAGCATTTCACTTCTGTTTAAAAAAAAAAAAATCTTAATCCATCCATTCCACAGTTATTATTTTCCTCTGTGATATACTCTGAATTTGATTGTCGTGGCATAGGCTCCGGCTCACCCGCCATTCTAATGAGGTCCATCGCTAGAAAATGAATGTTTGGATGAATGTCGTGGTTTCACCAAGGTGTTTTTTTCCAAAGTGCAGGCAAAGCTTTACCTTTTCAAGAGCGGAGTTACTTTGTACAACTACTGAAAGCGATCATGAACGGTAACCAAAATAGTCCCGAGTCACGTTGTTGCCTTCCCGTCATTTTGCACTCAAGTGTTATGGACTTGAATAAATATTTACACACTGTAAGACTTAACTGCGACTATTTGTGAGTCATTCAAAGAATAGTCTTAATGGGTTGTGTAAAAAATGGGTGTGCTCGGCTCAAGGGGGAGCATTACAGCAGACAAGAATCTTTTTTTTTCTTTAAAAAGTAGTCATAACGTTACAATTTTTGTGTAAAAATGTGTTCATATACAGAGTTATACTATTTTGAAAATACTGTAATCCTATAAAAATTCCTAGAAGTCACAGTGGAAGGTTGTCATTTTAAATAAATGTAAATTACTGAAGTCAAGTTATTTTTTTTTTTAAATGGGGAGAAACTATCCAAAAGTACGTTTTTTTTAAAAACAAAAAAATACCTCAATGATGAATATGTAATCTTACAAAAAGGAATGCATTACAAGGAAAAAGTTTTAAAACTATTAATGATAAGTAGTTGTTTAAAATTATTACAACTCATTCATTCGAAGAAACTAGTTTCTGTATGTTCGAAGACAGACAGTGTAATGCTATGAGGACATGGTCCTTTAAAAAAAAAAAATCGCAATATTACAAGAGTAACGTACCAAGTTAAGAGAATTTATTCTTATTTTTCAAATAATATTACAAAACTGAAGTTGTACATTGAGGAAAGAAATGCTTTTAAGAAAGGTTCAAACAGTAACAGTTGTTCTAAATTACTAAAGAAATGAAACTTTTAAAACAATCAACCAGATGCCACAACACGGAACACACATTGGGCCATTTACAGTCAACATTCTCTGAACACTCTCAACATTGTAGCAAGAAGCAAATGCAAACCAAGAATGTCTCTCAAAAGTTAAATGAAAAGGGAAAGTCGGTGGTCGTGTTTTCCTTGTTATCTGCGGGGCTCTCGGAGGTGAAGGGGAACTGGAAGTCCTCGCTTTGCTCCGGCTGGTTGAACAGGAAGTCCAGGCCTGCAGAATCACGTGGGTGAAGATTTAAAGTGGTGGAAAAGAGGATTTGATCCCCCTGACAGAGAAATTGACTTCCAACAAATTTAGCAGGAGATCAAAAAAAAAAAAAAAATGTGTGTCTGAGATGTGAGATACTTGCCGCCTGATTTAGTCTCCTGGTTTTTCTGAAAGCAGAGTTTGGTGGGGTGGGTTTTTTTTTTTTTGTTTTGAATTGCAAAATGAAAAAGTCTACCCAAGAGGAGACCGTCATACCTTGTCGTTGAAAAAGGAGCCGCCGAAAGGGAACGACAGATCCTGCAAACAAAAAGAGGTGCTGAGTATTTGGCTCGGCATCTCTTTGGCGCGGTGTGGCGCTTTCTCAATCGTTACCTCATCATGGGAGGGGACGCCATCGAAGCTGAAACTGGAGTAGCCTGGGGTGCTGGGATTAGAGTTGAGCGAGAACATGAAGGCTGGAGATTTGCTCCCAGATGTGCCCTCAACTGGTGAGGAAGTTGGGCTAAAGCTGGAATGAACGACATCCACCTATTCATCATTTGAGCTTGATCGTTTTACAAAGGTTCGGCATATAAAACCTACTTAAAGTGGAATGTTGGCGTGCCAGGCGTGGTGGAGGACTGAGGTTGTACTTGTTGACCCTGCGGAAGCGAAAGAACGCCATGTTGCTGTGGTGCCTGCTCCTCTTTCTCCGCTGGGGCTCTTTCCTCCATTTGCGCCCGTGCTGCCTCCTTTTCCTCCGACACAGGCGACTGCTTTGCCTCAACAACCACACGGAATAGAACGTACAATAGAAGCTGCCGTGCAAAAACTCTTTGGCCAGTACCCCAAGCTCGAAAAGGATTCAAACCACAAAATCAACGAATGGTCATAAATATTTTGATTACATTCAAAAATTACTTTTTTGATTTTTTTTCCCCACGATGCTAAAATGGTATGTAATTATTGTATTTATTGAATTATCTAAAATGCACAATAATTTTTTAAGCAGTTTCAAGATAGAAACAAGACCATATCAAATATGTAATTATTGGCCTTATGAATGAATATTATTTTATTTGTAATTGTTTTTAATGTTTGTATTCATTCTTAATTGTTAATAGTTGTAAGTTGATTTAGAGATAGAAAAAAAAAAGATTAAATATGGAAATTGTACTATTTAGACTTCATTTACCGGTACATTAATTATGTCGAATATTCCAAAAAAGTAACATTTAAAGTATTTAAATTTTTATTTCAATATTTTATCTATGGATGATACACAAATTGAAAAACAAATAATACCGGTAGTTAAAGGTTCATTTTTTCAACTCAATAAAACAGTATTTAATTCATTAAGTCTAACTAATGATTATTTTTAAACATTTAATTTTTTCATTAAATTCAATAGCTACTTTGAGACAACTAGAAAAACACAAAGTATTAAAATTATGCTTTTTTTGAAAAATGAGCATTGTTAAAAAAATAATTTAAAATGGCTTTGATATTTAATGTGATTCCTAATGAGTAGCTTAAAAAAATACATATGCTTCTTCTGAGATATGGTTAAAAAAAGCAAATGGTGGCCCAAGACTTTTGCACAGTACTGTACACAGGCCACAGCATGACGTAACTTGCACAATCGAAACATCTTATTTCCTCTCCAAACTGATCATCAGTCTTCAAGTTGGCTAGGTGGATTCTTTTGTAATTACTTGGCTTAATGGTTGAACCTCTTGGTCGTCCTCTTCCTCACCGGGCATCTCATCTGGTCCATGATGATCTAAAGAAATATTGATCACACAGCAGCGTTGGACTGTCAAATTGGGAGCATTCGAAAGCTGCTTACCTTGTGCCCCGACATGTTGCTCACTGCTTCTAGTTTCATCAGCGCTGCAGGAAAGTGATGCTCGGGCCTCACTTTGCACGTCCATTTCTTCAGCATTGCCGTCCGCGGAGGTTTCTGGACCGCTCGGACATCCCTTTTGTTTGTCACAGTGAGTCGAAAAGCGGGCCATCAAGCCAAAGTCGCGATCTATGATGCCGCCGCCGTCTCACCTTCATGTCACTGATATTCACAGTGGAGACGACAGCCATGGAGTCCTTCACAGGGGAACTCTCCATTCCCACGTCTGCTTCTGCGCTGGAAGAAATAAGACTAAATAGCTGAGATTAGCAGTATAAACAATGTGTACGCAACCTTGTTCAAATGCCATTTTTTTGTGATATTAAGATAAGAAGGGGCGGCCCGGTGGTCCAGTGCTTAGCGCGTTGACCTCACAGTGCAGAGGTCTTGGGTTCAATCCCCGCTCCAGCCTCCCTGTGTGGAGTTTGCATGTTTTCCCCGGGCCTGCGTGGGTTTTCTCCAGGTACTCCGGTTTCCTCCCACATTCCAAAAACATGCATGGCATGATGATTGAACACTCTAGAATTGTTCCTGGGTGCGAGTTTGAGCATGGATGGTTGTTCGTCTGTGTGTGCCCTGCGATTGGCTGGCAACCGGTTCAGTGACAGCTGGGATAGGCTCCTGCACCCACCGCGACCCTTGTGAGGATAAAGCGGATCGGAAAAATCTGAAGAAGTTGCGCACACTTGTGCAACATCACTTCAGTTCTTTATTTTTATCCCCCACCCATCTCTTAAAGTGTTTCTTTCTTTCAGTTGAGTTGGACTGGTTACAGTTTTTAAAATGATTCATCTCAGTCTCATTTTCTTATATCACAAAACCCTGATATTTCAAATGGGGTGTGTAGACTTAATATCCACATTAACTGTACGGTACGTGGTCAAAATACCTGTCCGGTCGTTGCTCTGAGGAGGAACGAGGAGCGTCAGAATCTGCAAAATCAGACATTTAAATGTTTAAAACCACCTCAATGCAATCAAGCTGTTGAGCTTCGATTACCAGTGACATGGGCTCGGCCCCCTTCCTTGGTTTTGACTGGCACGTCATCATGAGACACCATGGTTGGACTCTCCATGTCATCATTTTGCGCCTGGAGCGTTTGCGCAAATGGCTTCTGATGAGCCTGAAACAGCTTCCTGTAACTTGTAATTTTGTCTTTGAATCCTTCCCTAGACAGGTCATAGATTAAAGAGGGGGATGAGTGGATACACCAAATAAACTGCAAATATAATGTGCTAAACCAACATTTGGCCGACCCACTTGTCATTGTCGTAATTGGCTTTTACGCTCTCCAGTTCTGCTCTTAACGTTCGCTCATACTGAAGGAGCAAGCCCTGAGTCACCTTCATGCTAGGAGGAGAAAAAGCAGTTGCATGTTAAACGTATCACAGTGATGATAAAAAACTCATTTAGGCTGGAGTGGATGATATGGCCATACAATAAAATAGCATTTTTTTTTCTCACTAAAATCGGATTTCCCATTTTAATCGTCTGCTAGGGCCTCAGTTCCTCTTCACGATGCTGCCTCACTGTTCATCTAGTGTTCTGTAAGTGATGAGGTACAAAAATGCCTTTTGGAATGATGGTCAAAAATCCCAGCCTGGGTTTCATCAGACCATAACACACAAGGTATGTTGGGTTTAAATCCAGACTCTTGGCTTTCTGGTGGAGTTTTTGGGAGGGTAAGCAGTGCAGAGAATGGATGGATGGAACAATTAATCGCCTCACACTAATATATTGTGTACATACCTTTTTATAACTGCCCTGTTGTGTTTCAAAGTGTTGTGTTTCACTTCAGCACCCTCTTCCAGCACCTTGATCTGTGTGCGAGTTGTTTCAATGTAAGTCCTCCTTTCTGCAATGTTTGCTTTATGAACTGCAGGCACACAAGCCAAACAGGACAAGAAACCAATTGAATGCCTTTTAGTTTTCTTCAAAATGGCTAAAATTACTTCTTTTTTTTTTTTAATGACACTACCTTCAACCTCCCGGTCAATGTCATTCTTCTTTTGAGAAAGCTCGCGAACTTCAATGACTATGCAAAAATAAACAAACAAACAAACATAATTGTAACGTTTTAATTCAGCACAGCATTGCTGTTTGCCATTTACATTAATTTCTGCCACGATCAAAAAGGCTAGAACTACGCTAGCTCTAAATTGCTCTTAACTGTGGGTTAAGAGTAGAAGAAACCTGGTATTAAAAGTTCAAAAAATAGTAATGTATTCATAATATAATAAAACTTACCCAATCGGCAGAGTAAGCTATCAATGGCACCGGGGGTTCTTTGATACGCCATTATAGTTACAGCTCAGTTACTTTAATTTGCTCATTAGCCAATTAGCATAACTCCGACCTTCGGTTTACCAACATAATTTTGTAGCGCTAATATTTAGCTAGCATATGATTGTTTTCCAAAATATTAACTCCGTACCAAACTCATAACCGACAGCAATTTTTTTTTATTCCATAACATATGTTATTATCATTGCAGTAATTCAAACGCGTTCCTAGTTTAAGGATTGGACGTTTTAATTTGGAAAGAATTGACACACTTTCGTCAGGCTTTAACGGAAGTGAAGGCGGGGTTGTGGTGCTACTGTATTCAGGAAAACATTTTACGTAACGCATCTGTACAGGCGGCCGCTAGGGCAATTCCGGAAATAACTTTACGTAAAGCGCCAGTTTGGCAGTCCTGAGCGCTATCATGGAGTGGGAGTCATTTTTGCGTAACCCATCTGTATGGGTCTGATGTGTCGCTCGGCCAAGTACAACACAAATATCGGGTTTTATCTTTTGAAATATTAGAATTCTACCCAATGCTGGTGCAGCTTCGTTAAGGTAAGTGTTACTATCGGTTGTACTTCGTACGAGACGGACGCGTCGTTTACCGGCTGTCGGAAGACAAAAGAGCGGACATGGGTGGGATTTAAATGGGAGGAGAATGGCTTACATTGTCTCTTTAATTCCTTCAATTCTGGTTAAAATCTTCCCAGGAAACGCGTAGCTTAACAGAAGCCTGTCTCTAGTGAAACTAAACAGCTTATGATACATGAACTTGCTGAAACATAAACATTTCCATCAAATCAATCAGACAGTGTTTGACCCTGTATATCCATTTATATTTATTTCCAGTAAATGCATTTGGTGTACAGTATTTTTTAAGGTAACAGCAGCACATGCAAGAACGCACAAAAAATGTAGGTCAGCATCATTGTGCACGTGATTCATTTCGTGACTGCAAATAGAAAAGTGTCTTTTTTTTAAATGCTCTGCCTATATGTGTCTGTTTATGCCATCCATCCAGTCGCTTCCTGGTCTGAAGGCAATGAGTGGACAATAGACCTGATTCAGAATAGTCTTCATAGCGATAGGCCAGCTGATAGGATGACCCATGTGGAGGAGTCTCAGACCGAAGGAGAAGGCAGCCCCCAGATCCTGTCCCTCAGGTCCGAATCATCGGTGAACCACGTAGACGACGGCGACGTGGGACCATCCGTGAGGAGGAAGAGGAGGAGAAAGCGAGAGCAGCGCCCGGAGTCCATCATCGTCTATCGCTCCGATGTGGAGCGAGGGCCCAGTGGTGACCAAGGAGGCGAAGAAGAGGGAGCAGAGAGGAGTGCCGAGGAAGGAGCCAAGTTCCTCTGTACACCCACAAATGAAGGTGAATCATATTGTATCTTTTCAGTGCACCAACAACAATATTACATTATTATACATTATTATATTAACTCCACTGTTACTTCACAGCATGATGGAAGTGCACAAAGGCAAATGTGAAGGGGGCTACGAAGTTGCATTTCCTGTCGCATGATCATCATTACCTTTTTTTTTTTCCTCCATGCCTTTTTTTTTTCTCCATACCATCCCAGGTACCCTTCTGTGGTGGCATTACAAAAAAAAAAGCAGACACACACTTTCTGAATGTGTGAACCATTTTGATGCTCATTGAGTTGAAGTCTGGCAACATATGTGGATCCACACATTTAGAGGTCGATTTTTACCCCAAAATTGTGTCAAATTCAAATTCTACCCCTATTGTTATCATTCATTTTCTATGCCTTGTTCAAACGTTCAAAAACTTTGAGAACCCCCAATCTAATTGACTTCTTGCTGTGTCTACTCAACAGACGGAGACTGGAGCCTTCCCCCAGACAGCCGCTATGTAACTCTAACAGGCACCATCACACGGGGCAAAAAGAAAGGCCAGGTTGTGGACATCCATGTGACCATGACAGAGAAAGAACTCCGCGAGCTGGCCAAGTCTAGGGAACGGCTCGATGCTGAGTGCGAGGCCAGGGAGGACTCCAAGCGGTCTTGCAGCCTGGGAGTGTGCCGAGGGCCTCACGTTGTCCTGTGGAGCATCTCCTGTGCCCCTGTGGTCTTCCTGCTCTCCTTCATCACATCCTTCTACTACGGCACCCTGACGTGGTACAACGTCTTCCTGGTGTACAACGAGGAGCGGACATTCTGGCACAAGATCACCATCTGCCCCTTTCTCATCATCTTCTACCCTGTGCTCATCATGCCCGTGGCGCTGTCCCTGGCGCTGTACTCGGCCGTCGTGCAGGTGTCCTGGGCCTTCAGCGCGTGGTGGCATGCCGTGAGGGACCTGGAGAAGGGATTCTGCGGCTGGGCCTGCGGGAAAATGGGCCTGGAGGACTGCTCCCCTTACAGCATTATCGAGCTCCTCGACTCTGACACTGTCTCCAGCACGCTGCAGAGCAAAGCCCCCAGGGAACTCGCCCAGACGTCCTCGGTGTGAAACTGAATGGAAACGGTTCACGTGCTAGTTTGCTAATACACGTAAACAAGTACAATGAAGAAGACTGTGTGCTACCTTGGATAACTTCATGAACAGCAAAAAAACATGCACTACTATGCAAACGTCTAAGGCTACCATTAGATTTGTTGTACGGGTGAGCTGGAGACTATCCTAACTGACTTTGGGCAAGAGGGGGCGGTATAACCCTGGACCGGTCACCGATCAATCACAGGGCACATATGAACAAACACCCATTCACATATTGGGACAATTGAGAATTTCCAATTTAAAAAGCCACACAACGTCAAGTATAGGCAAATTCAAGAACCTCAGAACTGTGAGGCAGATATGCCAATCACTATGATGCAGTGCTGTCACTTCAATAACAATGTATACCATTTCCTTATACAGTACAATATATTCAAAAAAAGTATTTTTTTATCTAATTTATTAATTTGATGATTAAGTGTATATATCTTATTGTTTTTTCGCACACACATTATTAAAGTAATATATTTATGATAATATTTATGATTTTATTTTAAAAATACACAGTGTACCGAAATTTAGTTGATAATTTTTAAAAATTTAAATATATGTTAAATGGGGCAGGACGGTGGTCGACTGATTAGCACGTCCACCTCACAGTGCAGAGGTACAGGGGTCGATTCCGGCGTCGGCCTTCCTGTTTGGAGTTTGCATGTTCTTTCCGTGCCTGCGTGGGTTTTCTCCAGGTACTTTGGTTTCCTCTAACATTTCAAAAATATGCATGGCAGGTTAATGGAACACTCTTTGTTGTCCCTTGATGTGAGTGTGAACGGTTGTTCATCTATGTGTGCCCTATGATTCGCTGGCAACCAGTTCAGGGTGTACTCCGCCTACTGCACACCCATGACCCTCGTGAGGATAAGTGGATTAGAAAATAGATAGATATATATTTTAAATAATTTATTTTATTATTTTCTGTTCAGATTTAATTTATTATCATACACAATACTGAATAGACTGTAGTGTACCTATTATATAGTCAAATATGCCTTTTCAAATGACTTTTTATAACAGCCACCTATTGACATCAGCTGTTGTGTCCATTTGCTCAAGTGGACAGCACATCTAGCAATTCATTGAGGTATGGTGTCTATGAGAGTGGACGATGCCACTTGCTGAAGGCACTATATCAATGAAGATGCATTGAATTATTCTGGATTTATAGCCATGTTTATAACCTCATTAACGTCGAATTACTTCTTCCTCTGCCCAAGCACAATCCATCCATGCATCCATTTTCCGATCCGCTTTATCCTCACAAAGATCGCGGGGGGTGCTGGAGTCTATCCCGGCTGTCTTCGGACACCCTGAACCGGTTGCCAGCCAGTCGCATGGCACACAGAGACGAACAACCATCCGCGTTCACACCCACACCTACGGGCAATTTAGAGTGTTCAATCAGCCTGACATGCATGTTTTTCTAATGTGGGACGAAACCGGAGTACCCGGAGAAAACCCATGCAGGCCCGGGGAGAACACACGACCTTTGTACTGTGAGGTCAACGCGCTAACCACTGGACCACCAGGCCGCCCCAAGCTCCATCCCTCAACAAAATGATGTACTGTACCCCACTACTGACCATTTTAAAATGTTGTGACTGCTGTGAAAAAAAAAGGAATCAAATCAACAAAGCTAATGGTGGCCAAAGACTTCTGCGTAGTATTGTATATTTGTACTGGAAACACACTGGACTCTGATAAACTTTATTTTGTGTGCGTGTGTTTGTGTGTCTGTGTGTGTGCGTGCGTGTGTCATTAACATGTATTATTCGTCACTTATTGCAAGACTAGCATTACACGATTTCCTTTTGGTGCTTGCCTGGAAATGTGTTCCAGCACTGTTGTCATGGTTTTTCACTCTCACCTACATAGAATTATTTTGTATTTAGAATCATTCTCAACCGTACAGAAGTGTTTTTGTTTTTTGAATCGATTCAATTCACAGCACTATCTGCTTTTTTTTTTTTTTTTGTCGAATTATTAAAGTACATGTGACATCTTATCTCAGTGTTCACTCTAAATAATCATGCTGGCTGTCTGATTTCAACTGTCTCCTGTTCATTGTGAGTGAAATTACCCCAGTGAAAATCTCCGTCTTACATTTTCAATACTGTCTTTTGTTGAATATTTGTTTAATTTATTATAATACGTGTATTTAATTGTGATTTTTCGGAGATTTGAACATTTCACACTAGTATGATAAATATGCTCCTCAAAACGATTAACAGATAATCGGTGGGAATTTCTCGTTCCATGTTGTATGAGGTAAATTAAGGATGTAAACAATTACACCAATAAAAATATAATCTTGTTGCATGACAACACTGAAAATACGATGCGTTTGTGTGTTTTATTTGATTCCTGATGCATTCCATTTTGTCTATCAATTTTCTGGTTGCCAGCCAATTGCAGGACACCGATACATAGATAAATTAATAATCACACTCATATTCTCACTCGCTTGCAATTTAGAGTCTTTAGTTAAATGTATTCATAAAACATATTAATACAAATGCAATGTTTTATTGTATTCAGTTGGGGAAAATAACTAACCGAACTGCCTTCAAAACCGTGGTAACGCGGATGTGTAGCTCGCTCTTTGTAATCCGGGAGTGAACGCCATTTTCACTCGGACCTTTTATCAGGTGACACAGCTTCTAAAGGAGGGAAACAAAAATCCTAAAATGTCCAGATCGAAAGTAAGTACAATTATGTCGAATGGCTCCCTGTAACTTTCAAACATGTGTCAGCCGGCCATTATTTTTAACCAGTAGTATATTCTATTATTTTGATATGTTTGCATTCGTAATACACTGTGGCGTTGAGAAATGGCAGGGCATGTTGGGACATGTCTGTGGACGAACGCTAACAACAAGGCTTTGAAATGCAATGTGTTATAAAATAGCCCTACATAAATATTTGAATTTAATTTCATTTTATTCCTTGGTCTACTGCAGTCGTTTCATGTGTTGTGCATGGATGTTGGGCTTTCCATGTCCAACTCGGCACCGGGTGAAGACTCTCCATTTGAACTCTCCAAACAAGTCATTCAGAAGTTTGTCCAACGTCAGGTAAGATAGGATACATTGAACTACAAAATGATTTATTTATTCAGTATAAAAAAGAATTAAGGCCACGCTGAAAAGGAAAAGAAAAATCAGATTACAATATTAAAAATTGTAATCTTATTTTGGAAAAAAACTAGGGGGAAACGCCATGTTTTTAAAAATAGGAAAAGGACTTCATTGTCATAATATAGTGATTTGAATGTTGAATGTACAACAATTTTCCTTTTCGAAAAGAAATGTTTTGTCATAGTAACCTCATTTTAAAAAAACACGTCAATTTTAAAAAATAAAAAAAGTGCAACTTTATTTTCACAGTACAGTATTGCAACTGTAATACCAAAATATATAATAAAAACAATGTCATATTATCACTAATATTGGAAGTATGCAGCTTCTTTTCTCGAAACTATATGACTCTTTCTAGTATTGCACATTTTAAAATAAACACCTCTTGAAAATATACAATTTTGATTTAATGATATTTCTTTATTTTTTGTTGATGTATAAACGGCTTTATTCTTGTGAAATTTAGACTTAAATCTCAGTGTATTTTTTTTTTCTTTTCAGACTGGACATATCAAGTAATAATTAATTAGTAATGTGGCATATGTGATTGTTATTTGGTTTCACAGGTGTTTGCTGAGGTCAAGGATGAATTGGCTTTGGTTCTGTTTGGCACAGACTCGACCAGGAACCCACTGGCTCAAGATGGACAATACCAGAACATCACTGTTCATCGCAACCTGATGGTACCCGACTTTGAGCTTTTGGAGGAGATCGAGAATCAGGTCCATCCGGAAAATCAACAGGCGGACTGTATCCTTTGCAAATACTTGACACTTGTGAGAAAAAAAATGGCATTAAAAGAGACATGTCTCCTTTAACCGTTGTAAAAAGGGTTAGATGCTCTTGTTGTCTGCATGGATCTTCTTCAAACTGGAATAAAGTAAGATTTTATTTTTTTAATATCTGCTAAATTGTGCGATCAAAATATCTGAAACGTGGTTTTGTCATTTTGTGCCACATCAATGTCATGATTGATATATTTTTTAGGGGGAAACGTTATGATCAACTCAACATTTACTTCCTGAGTGACCTCAGTGTTGAAGCAAACTCAGAAGAGCTGGACGTCATTGTTGAAAACCTGAAACAAGTTGACATAACGCTGCAGTTCTTGTAAGTTCCAACATTGTGTTTTCCCAGTTAGGGGTATCCGCTCCAACAGATGCCACTTGAATAATTTAACACCTCGCCTCAAATATACGCCACCCTTTTTCTCCTCAGGAAAAAAGAAATAACAGGTGGTTCCACTATCCTGCTGGAGCTGTAGTAACCTTTACGATCGCTGTCATGGCCGTGTGTTACAGAAAACGTTATTATCACAACCCATATCAGAGCAGATGTGGGATCTGTAAAGTTGATGGTGGAGTTTTAAAGCTACAGTGGCAGAGCAAAACCTGCAAAACGTTTTACCACTGAAATGACAAAATAATTCGATGTTTCAATGAGTCACAGAGGGCCATAATGCAAGATATGTTTTTTGTTAGAATGTATTTTTGAATTGAATTAAATATTAAATATGTTTGAAAAGATCCGTATCCCACCCTTTATCACTTAAATTGCTTGATCTTATTCTTTTACCTATATTTTAAAGAAATGTTACCATTCTTTGTATTCCGTAGTTTACCCTTCTCTGCTGAAGAGGAATCAGTGGATGAAGCAGGCGATGCGGGAAGAGGGGGTCCCGGTGCAAGAGGCTCGGGTAAAGGCTTGTCCAGGGAACAGAAGACTGGACTGGAAATGGTCAAACACATTATGCTCAGCCTGGATGAGCAGGATGGTCTCGATCAGATTTACACACTCAGGTGAAAGGGCCTTTTGATCTCTCTAAAGAAGACGTAGCAAATGGGCGTCGAACAAAACTCATGGCAGCTCTGCTTACCTTTTGGCTTTGATGCGATAGCAGATGTTTCACACCTTTAGACGATGTGGCTCTTTTGCACTCCTGTTTCAAACAACGTTGTGTGACCGACCGCTCAAAAGTGGCTCTGGATCTTCACCTCGCCTAGTTTATTCTGAGATCTGGAGAAACCTTGTGTAGGGGATGTCATGACATAAATTAGCCCCATAGTGATGTACGAGTAGGGTGCAAGTGCAGTGCTGGGAGCTCACAGACACATGCTCAGAAATAGGCAGCTCACAGAAGATTTACTTGTACATGTACTGTTTGTTGTTCAATTTCACTCTGTGTTGGATTCACCTGGCCCTTAAAGAGGTGCAGGGCTGCCACTGACAGGTGACCGTTCGCGTGACGTATGAAAAGCGGCATTGCAGTTTGTTTCGTTAGTTAAAACACTCACTTTGTCGTCAGCATGGCCCAATGGTAAGCTACGTTTGTGTCCGCTTTTCTTGACCAGATATGTAAAGTTACCTTTTAGATTCGATCATGATCGGTTGCTTTGTTTGTCTGCTTTGCGTTGTGTCCGTTGCGCTTTATAAGATAAGATATCCTTTATTTGTCCCACATTGGGGAAATTTACAGTATACAGCAGCAAGATTGGGTAGAAAGAAGAAAAACAAAGTGTTCGCATTCACAAAATAAATGTTACAGTTTCAATGTACACCGTATGTTTGCCACATCGCGATCACAGTTAGTTACTGTTCCCACTCGGCAGTTTAAACGTGGGCAAAAGACTTTCAATCACAGTGGTTTCTTCAGTGAGTTCGTTTTTGCATAGTTGCCGTGTCGTGTTTGTCCGGCTGCACTGGGAGTGTCAACTGTGTACTTTGCGTTACGGCCGGAGTTAATCATGCCGTGCTCCACTTCCGGGTTTGACCGCTGCGACTTGTAGTCCTTTTGATCGATCCCACTTGGTATGTTTGTGTTGTATGGTTTCTTACGTTTAGAATAATGAATAATGATGACGATAATAATACATAGTGAAATCATGGTTGATTAAATTATTTATTAAACGTATTGTTAAAATAAAGGTATTAATTAATGTCAATGATATACATACATTGTGATCTAGAAAGATAGATGCATTCATTTTTATTGCATTTATGTGTGCTTTAGGTTATTTCCTGCTTCTGTTACAACTGCTAGTGCTACTGATTCTGCTTCTGCTGCTGCTTCTGATATTGCTTCTACAACTGCTTCTGCTTCAATCAATGATCAAAAAAGTACAGAGCGAGTAATCCTTCTATGCTGACTGACGATCCCTATTTAGAGGGCCGTGAAAAACGGAATTAACTGAACACTATGAATGAGACTTCAGAGACCAAAATAATTGCTTCCAGTCGTTTAAAACAAAGTGAACTTTTCATTTGAAGACTCTCATTGGTTTGGTCTTTGTCTGATGTGGTTTTTTCCCTTGTGCATTTGCAGGAATGCTATTGAGGGGCTGTGTATGTTCAAGAGGACTGAGAGACGACCCACGGCGTGGCCCTGTCAGCTGACCATTGGCAGTGCTCTCTCCATTCGCATCGTTGGCTACAAAGCTGTACGTGATGTGGCAAGCACTTTACACACGCACCAACCAAAACATAGGTGCAGCCGCATAACCTGATGCACTAGTGTTGAACAAAAACTGTGTCTGTATGGACAACAGAATGGCACCCCAGTGCGTTGAGTCTGAATCATGCGCTTCTCCCGGTTTCCAGCACGATGTTGTAGTTCATTGCTACTTTTGTTTTGTTAATCAACAACTTGTTCCACACAATTAGGACCACTGTTGTAGGAGCTCTACAGCTGTGATCGTTTGGCTTTCGGACCTTTTAAAAAGGAAATCCCAACCCCATTTATGAGTTCCGCTTGTGTCCACCAGGTGACTGAGGAGAAGCTCAAGAAAACGTGGCTCACAGTGGACGCACTGAGCCACAAGAGAGACCACATCAAGAAAGAAACGGTCTACTGTCTGGATGACGACAACGAGACAGAGGTGCAGAAGGACGACCTAATCCAAGGTAAATCTTTTCCATTGTGGTTGCGATACTTCTTTGAAGAGAATGTAACGGCATCAAGTTATCCATGATGCTTCCAGAATTATGGCCATATATGTCTACCGCTACTCAACATATGTTTAAAGTTCAAGTTCACCCAGTTGAAATTAAACTTCAAATCCTGTAGCTCAGTGTATCCCAACCAGGGATACATTACAGGGGCTGCATGGAAACATTTAATATTGTATTTCCGTAAGTAAATATTCTTGGTCATTTCAAGCCTGTCAATGAACGGTATCTGCGCACTATAACTTGTTTCCCTTGTTTTGTTCCTGATAACTAAAGTTTAAATGCCTGCTTAAAAAGGGTGTATTCAAGTAAGGTCCAATTTTTTGTGTTAAATGTTAATAAAGGCATGTTTTATAAATTATTTAGATTGGGTTTTTTTTTCCCCCAAAGCAACATTTATTTTTATGTCTAATTCAAGCTAAAAAGTTAATGCCTGCAAATAAAATTAAGGAGTCAAATTTAAATTTTCAGGGAATAATCTGTTGTGTTACATTCCACTATTGGAGAATCATCAACCTGTACAAGTAAGGAGCGCATGGTATGAGAAAAAGGTTCAGGGGTACACAAGACAAAACATGTTGGGAACTATTTTCGTCGCTAATAATTCAGGTTTGGTTACAAATAGTCAGACATTGGTGTTCTAGTCTGGTATCTCTGTAACCAACCTTCTCTAAATAGATGGTGTGCTTGTCTTGTGTTACCAGGTTTTTGCTATGGAAGCGATATTGTTCCCTTCTCGAAAGTGGATCAAGAGCAGATGAAATACAAACATGATGGAAAGTGCTTTGCTGTTTTAGGATTTACCAACCAAAACCTGGTACTATGCCATTTGGTTTGATTGATTGTTTTTTTTTTGTTTTTTTAATTAGTTGTGATTTCCCGACATTGTCCATTGTTTATTTTGTGTCTGGCGTCTCTGCAGGTTCCTCGTCACTCCTTCATGGGAATTCAGACCATCAAGATCTTTGCGCCAGGCGACGATCAGGTAAAATCCAGGAGCAGATTTTGTCAAACGAGTGGTTGCTCTGTGTCAATATTGCTGACTTTTTCCTGGGCTCAGCATGCTGGGGTGGCACTGTCCGCTCTCATCCGGGCGCTGGACGAGCTCAAAATGGTGGCCATCGTTCGGTACGCCTACAACCGGCAGTGCAACCCTCAAATAGGAGCAGCTTTCCCTTGTATCAAGATGAACTATGAGGTGATGTCACAACCTCCTTCTCATTGTAGCTTATTGTCCATATGTTAATTTTCAAGCGTGTTTGTCGAAATAGCAGCATATTATCAGCAAGCAATGCTTTACGGCGTTAAGCCTTTAAGGTAGTCTCTGTACAAATAAAAAATGAAGACAACTAAGATGTACATTGAACCTCTATTAAACGGATCACTGTAACCTATGTTTGCTAATGCAAAATAAATAATGCTACATTATCTTACAGTGAGGGAAGAAAATAGTATTCAAACAAATTAACAGCTATAAATGGGGCGATTTTTTTATTTTTATTTTATTTTAGCATGACTTTAATACTTTATTGCCATACAGGTAAACTAACGTTTCTTTCTCTCCGCAGTGTCTTATATATGTCCAGCTGCCCTTCATGGAAGACCTCCGGCACTTCACATATACTTCCCTGAACTCCAAGAAATTCAGCCCCTCAGGTATTCCTCTTGTTTGTTTTTTGTTTTTTATATTATCATTTAATGATAGCGCATCCTGTATTGGAATATTTTTTACAAAGACACAAATATTCCAAATGATTTGATATTACACAATCTATGCCAGTGAAAATTCAAAGTGCAAACCTCACAGGCCTTGCCAATCAAATGTGAGATTACCGTGTATACACAGACACACAGTTGCAGGCTGTCGACTCTCTCATCGACTCCATGATGTTGGTGGACAAAGATGAAGATGGAAACCTAAAAGACTTGTTCAAAGTCCACCACATTCCCAACCCTGCGTTCCAGAGGCTTTACCAGGTATTCAGTGTGGAAAGTATCATTTCTTGCCTTCTCAGTTTTTACCATGCGTGTCATTTTTCCAGCTACCACGATCACAAAGCATAGAATCTGTTGTCTTGGTGGCCTAGCATTCGTAGGGATTCCGGGCACTTTTAATGGCCTGTTAGAGGACAAGTACATAATCTTGGTCAGATGACAGACTTGCTTTCTACTTATTACAATTTTGACTTTTGAATGTGTTTGTTTTACTGTTTTAAAAAAGTAAGATGTAGAAAGTACATGTATCTTTTCAAAAGCAATAATTAAAAGGAAAATATCAGAAAAATGTATACTCGAACGTTAACAAAGTATTTGGGCTTTATTACTTCCCACCACGAGAAATAATACCAACAGAAGGCTGTGTCTCAAAGTATGGTAACTGCCAGCCAGTTAATGGAAAGATATTTGTATTAAGGTATTCATTCTTAGGTGTTTACTTGTACAATATTTAAAAGTCTCATTCAGACACAATTATTTCCTGTAATCTGATATAAATGTGTCTTCCAATCTCTCTCAGTGCCTGCATCATCGAGCCGTCAACCCCGGCACAGCCCTTCCCCCAATAGAACCTTGGCTGGTGGCTGCACTGGACCGCCCGGATGTCATCAAGGAGCGTTGTGGAGTGCCACTAGATGAGGTGAAGAAGGTGTTTCCTCTCAAAGTGATGGAAAAGAAGAAGCCACTGAAAACTAGTGCTGAGATCTTTGGAAAAGAGTAAGTCTGGTCTTTTTGCAAGGTTAAAAACTACAGTGGAACTGCCAAAATTGAACATGTCTCTGTCCACCACACTTGATATCAAAAGTCACAAGACGCACTTGTTGTTGGTCAAACCAGAGCGACATGCATGTACCATGAATTTCAGTGTAGCAGAATATTTTGTTTGTTAGAATTGTTTGTTGTATTTGAAGAGGACACTTAAAAATTTAAAAGCATGCTGACTTGCAATCTGCAAGCCTCCCTCTCTCACAACATACTTGTCAGCAGTCGTTGAAAGATCAATAGTTTTATTTTAGTTCGATTGACCTGGTTACCTTGTCTTTCCACTTGCATTACTGTTATAAATGTTGAAATGGTCCATAAAATGCTGCCTCATCCAATTCATAATGGGTTGATGGTGACCCTTTAACTCTGCAACTGCTTATTTCTAATTTACATTCATTATTTTAGATGGAAACATTCTTTCATTTGGGGGATTTTGTTCCATTTTAGTGGGTCCCACTATAGTATCAACATTATGTGTCACTGTGTTGAAAATGCATGTGTGGCCAAGGTTCTTCAATGTACTTTTTACTGTCTTCTACGTGACCCCTTCTCCTGTCAGCTCTGAGCAGCCAGATGCTAAGAAGGCAAAGGGAGATGCGGCAGAGGAGGATGAGGGGGAGGAGTATAATCTGGCTGACATTTCTGAAGGCTCTGTTACTTCGGTAAGAAACTGGGTGGGAGAGACAAGAGGGGAGGAGGGAATGCTCTGCGGCTCACCATTTTCAACGTCATTCCTCCTTTCATCTAGGTCGGGAGCGTAAATCCCGCCCGTGACTTCCGCATCCTGATCAAGCAAAAAACGCTTCCATTCCAAGGGGGTGAGGTCCAATTTATTCCATTTTTCATTGTGCAAAAAGGCCATCATCAGTGTTTGGGAAAATTCATTTTCTCGTTCAAAGTTAGGTTTACAAATTTTTCAATTCAATATTTTGAACTAGGTTCACCGTTCCAAAAAAATGAACTAGTTCATAGTTTTAATTTTATTTATTTTAAACGATACGTTGTTCCAGGTCATTACCCTCAACCACTGCCATTTTTAAATAGGGAATTTAAACAAAAATAGGAGTGTAGTTAATGGTGCAATCAAAAATACAATCGAAGGTAGGAACCAGGCTGAGGTTGGAAATTAGCTGTTACCCAAATATAGACAAACAACCATTCACACTTAAAATCACACATAGGGACAATTTAGAGTGTTTGTTCCATTAACCTACTATGCACCTTTTTGAAATGTGCAAACGGAAGTTCCCGAAGAAAATCAATGCAGGCACTGGGCGAACATGCAAATTCCACACAGGAAGGCTGGAGCCCGGAATCAAACGATGGACCTCTGTACTGTGAAGCGGACGAGCTAACCAGTCATCCAGTGCGCCGCACTGCTTTTGTTTTTACACACACGCACACACACACACACACACACACACACACACACACACACACACACACACACATATATAATAGCCAATGTGACTTGCACAACTGCCGATCACACACACACACGCACATATACATATATATATATATATATATATATATATATATATATATATATATATATATATATAAAAAAACGTGAGTGCGGGTAATAACAACGCAACCAACTTTATTAATAGATACTGTACGCATGAGAGCTTTTCACTGTCTGAAGAGACAAAACTTCAAAAGTAGCAAATCATGCGACTGTATGTTGTTGCTGACCACTTTTTTTATATCATCCTCCGACACCACATTAAGAGGCGGGATTGAGGCGTTTTATTCTTTTAAGTTGCAACAACAGATACCGTATATTTGCAGTATACAAAAATTCTATACTGCATATATCAGTTACCTGTATCGGTTGAAATTTCTCATATCGTGCATCGCTAGTCATCGTGCTTTATATTTTATCACATGAAGACAAGTTTACTGTGTTGGGCTGAGCTTTGGCCTGGAAGTCAAACAAAACCTGGGACTCTTAAACAAAAATTAACTTTAATTCATTGAACTTGTTCAGGTAGAAAAGAACACTGGCCATGAGTGGACAAGTAGATATCTGTTGTAAATTCTGTTTCTTTGTTTGGGTGTGTTGACCAAATACCCCACCACCACCACTACCACTCATCCACCCAGCCTGTGAGCAGCTGACTCACAGGATAGAGCAGTTGCTCGGCAACAAGAACACACAGTACTACATGAAAAGCATCACCTGTATCCAGGCCTTCAGAGAACTGTCTGTAAAGGTAAATAAACAGTGACTATTCCCCATTCCTCACAATTTGAATCACTGCCAGTCCTTGCAAAAATATGCCATTGCGAGTTAACATACATTCTTGGCAAGTGTTTGAAGGATTTTAGAATCTTTCATGTCTTTGAATACGCAGCTCGGAAAGGCCGATCTGTACAATAGCTACCTCCAGTTGCTGAAAGGAAGCATCACAAACAGGGGGCTGGAAGTCTTTTGGGACCTGCTTGTTCAAGGTACGCAAAGCCTACCCATTCATTCCTTCTCGGTGATGTCACAAAATTTCCACAGTATGTTTTAAGAAATGAGATATACTGCTAATCATTTGCAACGGTACAGTCCCTCGTTCATCATTTTGGTGTCTTTTTGTTGCTGTTACAGGCTCCATATCTCTTATTGGCCAGGACGAGGTGGAAGGAAGCTGTGTGTCCAAAAATGAAGCTGCCCAGGTGACTTAAGCTAACCATTTCACAGTGACCCTGACATTGTCCTCATTTCTGAGAACGCTGTACTCTATTGTCAGTTTCTGGTGGCTGATGAGAAAAACGAAGAGCCGGTTGCGACAATGGCAGATGATGCTGACGATGTTGACGACTTGGTAAATATATTTTTTTTCCACTTATTGCAAGGAAGCATGAGGTCACTGCTGTGAGTCAATCTCATTTAAAAACGATTTCCTGCGTATTTTGGATCAAGTGTCCCTGATGGTCCTGACCTATTGCAATCTCCAATATAAACTCTCCAATCACACATTTTCTTCCCCCCCCCTCCCTCTTCCTGTGCAGCTGGACAACATGTAAGGAAGAAGGCAATGGGAGCGACTGCAGGAAAAATGCAAAGTATTCATCCTTGGGTCCATCTCTCCATTGTTCCGCCTCCCACATGGAGACCGATGGGTACTTGGGAGGAATACTGCACAGAAAGAACATGACCTTAACCTGACTTGTAATCTTTTGTTGGGGATCTTACAAAACACAGCTGGGACTTGACAAACGACAGGATTCTGAATGTTTATTATCTTAAATGTGATTTATTGTGTGTGTGTGTGTGTGTGTGTGTGTGTGTGTGTGTGTGTGTGTGTGTATAGCACTTAGGGTTGCTACAGATATTGACTGTACAGTGGCATCGGGAAATGTGGTATGTTTGTATGCCAGACAAATTAACAGTAGTAGCACCAAAACTAGGTTCATGTCTCCAGTGTGGTTTGTCTTTAACATATCCACCGGAAGAAATGGTCAAGCAAGCCTGACTGCCACTGAGACCAGTGTTCAGCCTTGAATATGGCGTTCTCGTCTCCCATGGCCAACTTCGTCAAGACTTCTTGATCCACATCGTTTCCCACAGCGATCACTGAGGGAACGACCTGTTCCCTACGCATGGCGCGTACCGCCTCGTCAAGGTTTTTCCTGTCAGTGACGCCGTCTGTGACGAAAACGAACGCGATCTCAGCAACGCGTCTCGTCTGGCGAGTTGTTCCCTTGCCAAGCACTCTGTTAATAGCGTGGGTGATGGCTGGCCCCACGCTCGACGAAGAGTCCAGATAGCGCAGACGAGCCACGCCGTCAGAAACAAGGATGTGATCGTGTGTGAGAGGGAAAGCCAGATAGTTCTCCCCATCCTTGCCGTATTGCAGAAGAGCCAAGCGAGCTCGCAGGCGATCTGTCCTACTCCGGGCCAGTACCAGTCTATCTACCAGCGTTTGTAAAAATTCACGAACGTGGCGGAAGTTGTCCGCACCGAGGCGCTCTGAGCCGTCGAGCAGGAATACCACATCCACTGGTCGCTGGGCACATGGGGCCACATCAGGCTCTATGGAAAGCCAACAAATTGCTGAATAGCATTACAACCAAAACTAGTAATTTTCTTCAGCTAGTGGATCAAAGTAAAATTGGAGTTTACAGATCATCCACCCTCACTCCTAACCCTCTTCCCCAACTCAAAACCCCTAATACTGAACCCTAATGCTTTCTCACTTGCAATTCATGCTTGTATTGAAAACTCAAGTCTTGTTGTAAACAGACAACCATGTGCACAATCCTGGTAAATTCAAGAAGACCTACCGCTCTTGCAGGGGAGATTGGGGCACACAACAACCGGATCTTGAAGGGAAAACAAATGGACTTGGTTAAAAAAAACTCATTTGAGATCATTGAACATCATCCCACTGAACTTACCGGGACAGAGCACAGTCTCCATTTTGTCGATGAAGTCCTCTGCGACCAAGTCAACAAAGTTCTTCATTCCAGTGACCCGATCCTTTTTGTCGCAAGCTATGGAACCCAGGATCTCGTCGTCCTGTGCTTTCCTAAACATGTCTCCAACCCCGATGGCGTTCACCACTACGCTGCTATCATGGCAAAGATACGTGAGAAGATCATCGTCATCGCGCGGGTCAAAGCGTCCATCGGTGATAACCACCACGGACACTTTGGCGCGGGCTCTCTTGCTGTCCCTGATGAGGTGGTCGTAGGCAAACTTAAGAGCCGAGGGGGTGAAGGTGCCCCCAGCGATCCACTGAAGGTTCTTCACCGCCGTTTTAAAAGTAGACATGGAGTTAATGTCGGGGTCGTCGAGACGGATGGCTTCGAAAGTCCCGTTGTGGCTGTACTGAACAACTCCAACTCTTGTTCCTGAAAGAGGTGGTGGTAAGAATTATTCAACTCAGTCACCCGAAAGTAAGATTTGGTCTCATTTGAAAGAGCTGCATGATACCTTACAAAGTAAACCGATTCACTCTCTTTTATGGCAATCTCTTCGGACTTGAAGTATTTTACTTTATCATTTGCAAGGCGATGGTGCCAGACTTTACCGGTCGGGGATGCGGGGTTGCTGGCCATAGATCCCAAACGATTAATGGTGTTGATGACAAAGTTCTTTTCCAAGGTGAAGTTAGTCAGACCGACACTCTCCGAGCTGTCTATGACAAATACGATGTCCAGAGCACCGCAAATCTTCTCACAGTCTTTGGCAAAAGGTAAGAATTGCTTTAGTTTGTTTGAAATATGGAATAATACCCAACTGCATATTTGTACTACAGTATAAATGTATAGATTGCTCACCACAACAACCACAAGTCTCCCTTATATAAGTCATGACGTCACAATCCTGGAATGAGAATGGAACAATATGAAGTGATAGTGTTGACAAAAGCCCCCCCCCCCGTCTAGAACGTACTCACAGTAAGTGCAGGATCGCCCATTGGTCCAGGGTAACCCTGCACACAAGCAGTACAAGCACTTAGCAATGTATTTGAATATTCCAGTTATTAAATTGTGTGCTGTTGTGCTCACATCAGGCCCAGGGTCCCCTCTTATTCCCCTGGCTCCTGGTTCTCCTGCGTGACCTGGCTCCCCCTAAACAGAAAGAACAAGCTCAAATAATCATCTAGAAATGAGACTCTCCGTATTCTGCTTCAATTTTAAAAGTACCCCTAACAACGAGTGAGCTAATACTACACGTAACGAACTTCCAGGGTGCTTTCACACTTCTCAACTCAACTGTATTTTATAGAGCACTTTAAAACAACCACCGCTGTATACAAAGCGCTGTACATGGAGCAAATATATATATACAACAATAAATTAATAACGAAGACAATAGAAAGTACAAAAACAGTCAAACTAAGACCAAGTCTGAGTCATGCTGAGTGAAAAGCCACTTGCAGCCTTTATTCCACCTTAATCAAACTCGACAAGTGTGAAACCAAACCCTTGTGCAGAGCGTTCTGAGACATCTAGAAGATGTAGTTTAGATTGCTTTGTGCGAAAAAGATCTAAACTGTGAGCACCAGCGTGATGAACAACCTATTGACTGATTCGTTCCAGAAGAAGCAAACTAGGTATGAAATCACCCAAGTTGTGTTCCCACTTATCATTTCTGCTTTGAACAAACTAGTGTGGCCGCTGATTCAGTTAAGTGTCAATGTAATCCTCCTCCTCGATGTCACCAAAATAAGTGGTCTCTATCCACCACAAACATAGATAACCTGCAAAGATTGTTTTGAAAGTACGGATTTTGTCCCACAATGCCTCAAAAACCTCTGCTGACCGGGTTGCAAATTCATTCATATTTTTACCTGGCAACCTTTGATGTGATTTCGAAAGGTCATTGTGAATGTAGAATCAAACGTGATTCCAAAAGTGTCGAGTCAGTGTGCAAATCAAATCACAAATCAATGAATCTTACAGACTCGCCACGTGGACCTTTGTCTCCTGGCTCTCCCTTGGCTCCGCATTCACCTCGACCACCCCTTGGTCCTTTTCTCCCTGGATCGCCCCGGTCGCCCTGAGAAACACAATTAATTGGCATACTTTTAAAGTGCATACGCCACTGCACAAATAGCACAACGATTTTGAAATCATACTGCTGAGAAGATTTAAAAAAAAACATTCAACAGAAGCTTTTCCAGTCAGTAGGACCCGTGGCCACCGTACATTAAAATACATTGAGAATACTGCTAACTTGCATTGCTGCTAAAAGGAATCAATATCTGTTTTTTCTGGTTATTGCAGTGTGTATGACTTCCTGTCCTCTTATGCCTTACTCTGGTTTTAGCTCACACAATATATTTCTAGTTTTTAAATTATAAAAATTAAAAAATGCTGTGCAATATTTAACGTATTGTAATGACCCCCCCCAAAAAAATGCTTTCATCCATTTCTATTAATGCTTGTCTTCATTAGCGTGCCTGACTATGGGTGAGGGGCGTGGCACGCCCTGGGAGGGTTGCCAACCGTTCCCCAGGCATACATAGACAAAAAAAAAACAAAAGAATGCTGAAATTATGAACAATTTAATCTTCAATGAACCGAACATGCATGAGTTTGGAATGTACCGGGAGAAACCTCACGCAAGCATGGGAAGATTCAAACCCTGATTCCAATCCACCATTGCTGCCCTGACAAAGAGCGTGAATTTACATTTTTTTTTCTTGCCTTCCCCCAATAAGAGATTTATACAGACATCGGCTTTTCATTTCACAGTGGTGAAAAGGAACTGCTTTATCTCGAGAGAAAAAAAATTACAGTAGGTCCTCTTGGTCCAGGGTAGCTGAATCCTTGTCTTCCTTGATCACCCTAAAATGAAAAAAAAAAAAAAAATTGCTGTTAGAACAGCCGTGTGCTTTATGGTTTCATATCACACATCTCTGAGAGAATAGCCAATTAAATTTATTGATTCACGAGAGCAAATGCATTTGATTACATAATTCATTTTTTTGCTTCACCCACCTTTGGTCCTTGGGGGCCCGAGTCTCCTCTCGGTCCAGGATCTCCTGGATTTCCGAAGATGCCCTGCAAAGCATCCAGATATGTTGATATCCGCTGTTATCATTTTTTTTTAATAGGAACACTCTCCAGTAGTCTAGTTTGACGTTTTCAACACCCTACATTTGCTCCACGACCTCCAGGTTCTCCTGCCTGGCCCCTCGGGCCTGGGAGTCCAGAATCACCCTAGAATGGGAAAGATATTTTCTCAATTTCCTTTTGAGAGACATCATAATTAAGTTGACAACATCTGTGAATTGGTGCAAAAACCCAAGCCTCACCTTTGCACCCTTAAGTCCATCATTCCCTGGTTGCCCCCTGCTTCCCTGTGGCCCTCGTTCTCCCTTCAAATGACAGAGATCCATCCACACATTACAGAGGTCGACTTCTCTTTACACTCGTGAGATGATAGGATACAAAAATGTGATTTAAAACATTGCGGTAAAAGAAAAAGCAAAACTGAACCAATCCTAGGAAGACACGAACTGAATAGAAATTTCATTTTACAGCCAAATGCAGTACTGTAGTCCATAATTTTTTAACAAACTTGCTCCAAAGGCCACATGACCCATAAAAATACATTAATTAAACACCCATTCATCCGTTTTCTGTAACATTTGTCCTCATTACGGTGGTGGGTGAGCTGGAATGTATCCCAGCTGCCTTTGGTCCAGAGGCGGTGGAAGGAAGCGGGAGTACCTAGAGAAAACCTACGCAAGCGCAAGGAGAACAAATGCAAACTCCACAAAAGGAAGGAACTACTCGCCCGCCATATGGTGGATACATTTTAATGTGATGAGGAAATGTTGAAAATGTTTTTACCTTTTCTCCCTTTTTCCCAGCAGATCCCTGAGCTCCCTTTGGTCCTCCGTGTCCTCTTCTTCCCTGTGGACATGTATTTGTGAACAAACTGCAG